AACAACGGCAACCTGCAAAAACAGAAATGGTAAGCTGCATTTTCACCACAAAAATGACGAACAGTGCACCAATACAAACTTCATTGCTATCTCAATAAACTGACCAGCCCAACTACAGCAGAGACAAGGAACTTGACCCAGTCCATTGGAGTTAATCCCGGGTTCTTCTTCTCAGGCTGTAAATGGCAAAAGGTTCCACACCAGGTCATCAGTTGTACAAGGGCTATGAGAAGTATAAAATCCCATAAAAGAGAGGAAAAGAAGAAAGAGCAAGAGAAACGCACAAGAACTATCTCCATATCAGCCATCGGAATATTTCTGAAGTGCTTTACATATATTCCCCTTTCTTCTTTGGCTTTGGTACTTGCCCGCCTGAACAGTAACATTCTCTTATCAATAAGTATTTTTTCAAGGTCCTTTCAAGACTGGTTTCCCAGAGCATGAATTCAATTAGTAGGCAATTAAACCCCCTTGCCCTTCAAAAAATCCATAAAGTATCATGCATTGAACTTTCTCCAATATAAATCAAACTGTTTGCAAGCCTAGTTTTCCTTTGCAAAAGAATACACTATAAGAAGCAACTAGGAGCACGCTCATTTAAAATAATTTAGACTGTCAACACTGATATGCCTAACCTTGTGACTTGAATACTAGCCAAATTTTTCACAAGAAGATTATGAAAAAAAAAAAAAAAAAAAAAAGATGTTCAATCTAAAGAACAGTACCTGTAAACAACAATTATCCTATCAAAGGTTGGCTCTTTGATTGTCGTCTTGCTCAGCAAATTTTTAACACTGAAGGACACAGCATATAAATGTCATGAAGTGGAAATAATTACCTTAAGATTGAGACAAGGAATACGGAATCAGGACTTAAATGATTTTAATTGCTGTTGAACTTTAGTATATATGTATACTCTGAAATAAAGAGTATAGTTTAAAATTAGAGAACTTTTAGCATAAGTCCGAGAAAAATCCTAGGAATATATAGATCACAATGAAAATAAATGTTTAGGATATTCCAGTGTAATCCAAAGCAGTCTATACTCTATATGGACAAGAATTCCAAGTTTCAATAGAGATGGAAAACTTCAGGATCCATCCAACTGAAATCTAAGAAATCATGAATGAAGAAATAAGATCCCGCCGCATAGAATGGCAAGCATATAGCTCAGTAATATACCAATACTAATAGCTCCACAAGAAAATACAAGAAAACTAAAGCTGGATAGAATAACCTTAGTTCCATTTTTTCTAGACGGATTCTTTCAATAAATAAGTCTTCATCTTCTCCATCTGCTCCAGAGACAATCTCATCATTCTTTTTTGGATCAGACTTAGGTCGTCCACTTGACCATCTGGATAAAAGTTTTTCGATCCTGCAATCAGCATAACACCAAAAATGATATAGAGAAAGAAACTCTTAAGTTTGAATAAATTAATATCTATAACACATCTTCTCAGCTATTTGCTCAATGGTTTTGGTAATACCAATCACCAATGATGCAAAATATGATGTTCCAGTTATTGGTCAACGATGATGTTTCATTAAAAGACTCATAATTGTTCACCTAGTTTACGGTTTAAATAGTTTCAACTATTATCTCCAAAGTTATGTTATTCCAATTTCCAGTAGGTCAATAATAGACAACAGCTAAAAAAAATTATTTACCTAGTTATTCGTAAAAGATATGCCCAAAAGCGCGCAATCATCATGTCCACTTTCTCCATGAAAAAGTAATCAGTTGTCTGATCAAGTCCAACGCCACGCCGGAAGATAATGTACTGAAGTATGAAACAATGCAGATTAGATCTCTAGAAACATAAAGACAGTGGAAGGAAGAGAGGGAGGGTGGGAGCCTAACTAGTATTTCCTACATTAACAAGGAAGAGGCAGATAATCTAAATAGAGCCAATCCTATATAATATCAACTTGAAATATTACGGGTTTAAAATTCCAAATTGTTTCCAGTGTTTTATAATGAACTTGAACTACCTTATCAGCAAACTCTGGAAGGTTTGGTTGAGGATGCTCAGCGAAATAATTCTTTAAGAGCTTCTTATCAAGCTGCATTCAACAGAAGCAATACTCGGGATCAGGGAATGTGAATGACATGAATATATTAACGTTATCAGGTATGTACTTAATGAACTGAAACAGGAAAACATATTTGCGACTACAACAAACCTTAGATTCGTCAACTGTGATGGGTAGATTTAGAAGATACTGGCCTGAACGTGCAACCTCAATTTCCTCATTACTTGTTATATTGAAATTACTCTTCTCCATCACCTGCATCATAACCAGCAGTTTAGTTGTCCTACTTTCAAACTGGTTTCCCATTGCGTAAATATAATCGCTCCGGTTCCGACAAGGGCTTTCTTTTGGCTTCTCTTTTTTTCACTTTTTCACGTTTCTTTTAGTTGTATGGGCATACGAGAAAACAAAAACATAAAAAGACATAAAGTGAATCAGCCTTAGAACCTGAAATAAGTACTTCAAGAAATTCTGCTCAAGCACATCAACTTCTTTCACGGAAAAGTTCTGCTGCTCCAATTTTTTAGCCCCATTTACAGGGTCAAAGAGGGAGTACAATTGCTGCAAAGAAAATTTGATAACATGAGAAAACAATACATGCCGATTGTTGATGCAAATCGTCTCCATGTCAAAAGGGCACTGAAAACATGAGCATACCATCAAATCCTCGAATTGCAGAAGATACCAAGCCCGAATTGTGTACTCAACTCTCTTGCACAACTTCAAAAACTCCGCCCGGTCGGAACTATGTTCTGCAGATTTTCCAAAAACCCGGATTTTTCAGCTAAGCAAAACACAATGCAACTCTAAAAATGTTGGAGAAAACAAAAACAACCCACGAATCGAATTCTTCCGGCAGTGCCAAAACAGCAAAATTTAAACAAAACCCAGCTAGGCAAATGCAAAACCAAACAAGAACAAATATTTGCACCAAACCCACAAAAGTTAGAGAAAATAAACACAACCCATGAATCAAACCGGGCCAACAAGTGCTAAAAGCATCAAAATTTAAACCAAAAAATTGAAATTTGAACAAAATCCAGAAATTAAACAAGCTAATAGAAGAACCCACCAATGAGGTTGGCCAAGGTCATGATAATCTTGGGCTTGATGATCGGGATGACGGATTCGCGCTCTATTCGAATCATATCCTTCTTCTTCTGCTCCATATTTTGTGCTTTGTTTTCTCAGAATTCTGAAAAACTGGAAGCGGAATAGCCAATGGCAGATGCAACACCCCCGCCCCTTTTTAGTTGGGTTGAATTTGGATTCTTTATCGGGATTACAATCAAAGGTTTCTTTGTGGTTTTGGGTTTGGCATTTCTTGTGGGGTTGTTTGTATTCTTGCAAACAGAGTGCGTGTTGTCGGGGGAGAGAGACAGAGTGAGGCGGAAGGGAGCCACCGAAACCAAACCAAGTGGAAAAGGGAACAGTGATACTGCCGGTGCTGGTGACAAATATCTTTAGATCGCAATGATTGGACTCAAAGGATTTACCGCGGTCGACTAGTTTACTACAGTTTTTTTTTTTGGGATAAATTAGTGTTTACTCAAGCTCTTAAAACTTTTGAGGGTTACTAAACTAATTTTCCACACCATTTTTATCATTTCGGACGTTATATTATTTATTATCATCAAATTGAATTGAATTGAATTGTTAAAAAATTACAACTTTTTTTATATTATTATTAAGTTACATTAAGATGTGCGAGGGTTTAAACTTGAAACGCAGTGAGCTGAAGAAAAATATCCTAATTGCCATAGTAATCTACCACTTGCAATATAACAGTATATTTTTACTAAGAAGTTGAGGATTTAGGTTAAGGAACATAATGAGTTAGCTACAACAATCTAGTATCGAACTCGTTGTTTACATGATACGAACCTAAAATTTTACACTTATAAGGCTAGAGTAATACTATTTGATTGGTAACACCATGTGATGGTGTAACTGTCATATGAACATGTATAAAATGCGCTCAAAGCTTTTGCAATTAAGGGTGGGCTCGGAAAATTGAAAACCGAAAAAAATTAGACCAAATACAAGATTGAAACAAAAAATCGAACCGAACCAAAAACTACTAGTTTGGTTTTGATTTTGGCGGTTCATAAACCAAACCAAACCAAATCGAATGATGTAAACTAAATCATGGTAGCCCAATTTCAAGTCAACCATTAGCCTACTTTCAATCAAAGGTTGGGTAAACTCAACTTTAGGCCCAAATATGTTGAAAGTCGTATTCCCTAATTTTTTTTTTTCTTCAATTTTTCTGCAATTTTTATGTTAACAAGAAAATGAAAAAAAAAAAACAAAACCAAACCAAAACGAAAAGGCCAAACAAAAATAATTCGGTTTCTCCTTTACAAATTATAAAACCTAACCAAACTGAATAGTAATTTTGGTTTGATTTTCAGTTTTGGTTAAAAACCGATCCGAAGTGAAATGGATCCACCCCTGCTTGCAATTTTATGGCAACAAAAAAGTACATTGTAGTTGGGAGATATTCGATCAATGCTCGTGGATGGTAACGTTGATACCAAATCAGATTAGCCCATCGTGTGATTAGTCCAACTTCCCCCTCCTTTTTAATGTAACGACACTTAAATTTAACCACTTAAGACACAAGCCCTTTTAAAAAGGTCCAGTTTAGTGCATAATAATAAAAAAGAAAGGGTCAAGTTTGGTGCCCATAAATCAATAATCTCGTTGCCGACACAGCTTATAACACCAGGTGAGCCCTCTGCATTTGGGGTGACACTTGCGTGGGATTCTGAATCAGCTTCCCGCTTGGATGTTAAGAGGTTCAACAAATGACGTGGTCGGACACTCTTACACAAGTAAAACGCAAAGGCAAGCGAGTAATAAACACATCATGATCACAAAATATCTAAAACCAGAGCTCAGCGGCCGGTAGTTGGCTAAGAATGAATGGGCTGATCGGACTTTTCACCCAATAATATGGATGAGGAAGGAACACTGTCATCGTGTAAGCAGATGGACAGCAAATGATTGAATAAAAGAAACATCTCAACATTTCAACAGCAACGATTGAAGGAACAAAGCCAGGCAGTAATAACTTGACCTGTGAAGAATATTATCGTAGAACTATGGCTCAACTACATGCTCCGACTGTAGACCGAACATCTCAACCTTTCGAAGAATTTACAAACACGAAAAAATGAAATGAGAAATTGACGAAGCAAATCAAATCAAGGGCAGATATAGGCCTTCCTAAAGCTCATATATGTTGAAAATGGAGATATAATGCTACTAAAGCTCGTGCGCGTTTCAATTTAAACCTGTGTCAGGAGCCCACAACAAGACCTTCCCGAGATATATTGGTAACCCGAAGAACAGCTTGTGCACTGAGAGGCGAGAGTTTTGACTGACAAAAGTTCTCCCATGAGCTCGTTTCTGAGAGCTCAGGCGCTGGTGCTGAGCTCGTTTCTGGATGTTCAGACACAGCTGCTGGTGGGGGATAATCAAATTTCTCGTAAACAGTCTGCAGCTCCAGGAGGAGGATCCGAGCAGCCTCCCTCGACTCAGGAAGCTGGTCACTAAGCTGGGATGCAGCAATTTGAATTAATTTGTCAATCCCATATGCTTTAATACCTTCAACACCCTGTTGACAGAAACAAGATAAGCATATAACAGGAAGAAATAAGTAGAACCACGTCTAGTTGAAGGTCTTGCTGAATCTACCCTACAACATGCTTGTTCATTTTCTCAATGTGCAATACGTGATAACAGACAAGTCATAGAACAACAAACAATAATGAAACTAGGTGCACTCAGGGAGAAGATCGCACATAAAAGACGGGGTTTGGATATGCAATTGAGTAATAGTTGACAGAAAGCACATGGGTGCAACAGTACAGGGTTCAATGAAGCCATAGGAATCTACATAGTATCAGCACAGGGACATACACTTCAATAAAACTCCAGCTTTTGGTTTTTGAAATCTATAAAACGGTTAGGCCATTTTGCCAATTCCAGTTTGACGGGACAGGTCCTAAACAATAAGCAAAAGCTAATGCAGTACAAGAGTATATATAAAAGGGGCAAAGGAAGATAATGAGTTCATAAATGACTATCCCCCACCAAAAAAAATTGAAGAATAAGATGTTACATCAGGAGCAGCACACAAAAAAAAGCAGCATCTGCTACTACAACTCGATAAAACTTGGAAACCAATGCAACACTCAAATGAATCTGGCAGTAGCAATTTGTGGGGTGAAGGAAAAATGAATCAATAAACAAACACATGAAAGAAAATAGAATTATATGAAACAATTGAAATATTAAGAAAAATCAACAAACAATGTGGTGAGCAATAGGATGTGTCCTCTTACCAGTCGTGGAACACTTCGACAAAAGCACGTTGATGCCTTTGCTCGAACTCTAGGATTTCTGTTCTTCAGATATGGTTGCAACTTGGGTAACAACAATGTAGGGGAAACCCAAGTGGTCATCGCTACTAAAGCTCTCTCAGCTGCCTCACATACAAATCGTTTGTCTTGTGAAGACTTTAGAAGAAGTTGTGTAAGCTGCATGGGTCAGGTTTGATTAAATGGGGGAAAAAGAACTAACACTTCCTTGCATATAAGAATAGAATCCTTTACTATACAAACAAAGTAAAGCAATACAGCAGAAAAGTTTCAAAGATTTTACATTACCATAGGGTCCAATGAATCAATCACAAGATCAGCATATGCATTGAAAATATCAGCAGATGTCATAATTGCAGTTTTGCAAACAGCACTTCTTGGATTCTTAAGTGACTTTACCACAAGCAATATCACATCTCCCCTATTGAGTAAAATGATGACAAAAGTTAAATGTGTCAGCATTGACAATCATCGATAACACATAATAATTCTTCGGATCAAGACATCAAGTAAGAGCATGAGACTTACAACATATCAAGCATGGCTTCCTTATGAAATATAGAAAATCGACGCACATTATTGAGCGCTTCACACACCAGAACCCAATCTTTAGATTCTAGTCCTGTTAAGAGTATCTGAAATATCAAACACATCACACAGTTAGCTGACATGCATATCAATGGTGAAACGTCAGAAATGCCTAGGTTACATTAAAGTGCCACAAGAAGGCATAAAAACGAATACCTTAAGACTTGTATCCACATTTTCTAGATCATTCAGATTCTTGGACTCAATGTATTCTACTTCGGCAATTCCAACCTCGGGTACGGAACTTGCAACTTCCTCACCATTTATTGAAAGTGAACCCAACGAAGCGGTGGTTTTCTTCAGGCATTCGTCATGATTTTCATTAGCATTTGCAGCGACATGCTTAGTTATATTCCCTTTGCTAGAGTCTTCATTCTTCCTCTCGGATCCAAGTATTGTATTGAGATCTCTAAGAGCATTCTCTGACATTGTTGCTGACCTTCAACTCTGAAACCAACAAATTTCGACCAGTGAGCACGCAAACTCAAATGTAACAAAAGAACTTCCACAGTTCTATTCACAGTTAACATTCACCTAGCAACTGCATAGAATCAAGATATAAATTCAATTCCAGTTGCTTGGAAGATCCAGAAAACGAAAACCACTTACTCCGAATATCCAACAAATTATGAAAATACAACTTACTAAGGATAATAATGAACCGAAACCAAAAGCATATACGTGACAAAAAGCGTAAATATTTATTTTGATCGAATTTCGAGTGTGAACACGAAATGCAACAACACAACGTCCACAATTCCCTACGTGGTAAATAATCAACTCGCAACATCATAGAATCGAGATAGAAATTCAATTCCAGTTGCTTGAAAGATCTATTAAACAGAAAATCCATTGAAAATACTACTTAATATCGACAATAATACGCGAAACCAAAAAAATAAAATAAAAAATCGAAAGAATCGGTAAAACTAAACCTAAACAGAAGATCTAGGGCTCCAATCACTGTACAAAATCAAAAATACTAATAACAAAACTAAATCAATCAGCTTCAACACGGATCATACGAGTTTCCCCTAAAATTCACACATTAGAATCCAACTCTACAGCGTATACACACACAGGCATATATACACATATACATATATCGATTCAATCGGAGCTCCGAAACGAAAACAATATCAGTAGAACAAGCATCGATTGTATGAAATGTGCGTGCGATTGCGAATCGGCGAATGCGCATACAATCCTAGAGAGAGAAAGAGAGAGAGGAGAGAGAGAGAGAGGAGAGAGAGAGAGAGTACCAGAGAGAGGGAAATGCGAGGGATCAGAACCAGCAAGCGTCAATGGAAGCTTTGAGTGAGTCCACACTCCCAGAAAATGGGCGGACTTTAAATAATCGAGTTCTTATTTATTTATCTTTTTGGTGTAACCGGCGAGGCAGTCAGACGAGCCTCGGGACGACGCCGCTTTGTGGTTAAGTGGGTTAAACCCGACCTGGGCCGGCAGAATCTGGATCCCGCATGTGACCGCCTCCAATGAACCCGGATCCTCTCGGGCCCCAAAAAATTTGATCCTAAGAATCAAATAATCCGGATCGTTGAAATTTGATCCAACGATTACAATTATTATAATTTTTAGAAAAATTCTTGTTTGTAATCGTTAGATCAAACAAATTTCTACGGTCTAGATCATTTGATCTTAGCTTAAATTTTTTTGAATACGGAGGAGGGATCCGGATCCACCTCTAATGTCGTATTTAATTTTGTTTGTTGTGGATTTTGGCGCGGATTGGCCCATTGAATTGGTATCTAATTTCGAAAACGCCATTGCCTCTCATAATTGCCATTTTTTATTGACACATTTAATTTTCGGTCGTTTCCTTGTTTGGAGCCTTGATTTTGATCTGACGCTCCAAAAGGAAAATGAAACTTTTGATTTGACGTGCGAATTGAAAAAAAGAAAGGTAAATGTTGGGTGATGCTATATCTTATTCACGTGCGAATTGAAAAAAAGAAAGGTAAATGTTGGATGATGCTATATCTTATTTATGTGACCACGATTAAATTAGTGTGCATGTGCATACGTGTTTTGGGTCTGATAATTTATGATCATATGTAACTTTTTGAAGTTTGGTTTGAATTTTTCTCTTTAAGATTCGTAGTTCTATTAAAAAACAACAAAACTAATTGAATTAGATTGTCTAGTTTGATTTGGTTTGGTTTGGGTTTGTATTATGTTGAGAAATCGGACTAAAATGGTCGAATTGGTTCAAGAATCACCAAATTGCATTTGATTAAACTGTATTTTTGATGTGTTGTGTTTTTTTAACGTGCCAGCAAAGATTTTCCAATTTCTGTTTATTGACAACATCAATTCGTTAGTCAGCTCCAAGCCTCCAAGCTAATAAAACCTTCATTAAATCTATTTTTTTTATTCATCAAGTAATTTAAAATATCGCATTGATTGACATATATGTCATATAACATCTCACATCGCTCAGGAAAATGGATCATCTAAGCCTTATATGTATATTCTCATCTCTATCTAGCACGAGGCCTTTTGGGAGCTCATTGCCTTCGGATTCCATCGAAACTCCGAAGTTAAACGAGTTCGCGCGAGAGCAATCTCAGGATATGTGACCCACTGGGAATATCTCGTGTGAGTTTCTAGAAGAAAAAAAACCGTGGAGACATGATTAGGGTCCAAAGCGGACAATATCATACTACGGCATAATCGAGCCCCGACTATGATGGGGACCCGGGTCGGGATGTGACATGTCATATTCCACAATCCATGTAACTATCAAACATTTGGATCGATTATAAAAAAAATGATTGAATTCAAAATTTAAGTCATATTTTAGAGGCCATATGCAGTTTAGCGAAAAAGTAAAAAGTATAATCTAAGGAATTTTGTGCCAACTTTAAAAGACAAAGTGTTTTCTGTTTTTATTATGGGAAACAGAAAGTAATTAGTAAATTGACGGCCTAATTTGCTTTAAAATTTGATTTAGGCACATATTTAGTCCTCTAGCCATCAAATCGCATCTAAATAAGTTGGTATGTTCGACAAAAATAAAGTTAATAAGACCCCATTTGGACGAAGCAATTTCAAATAAAGTGTTTGGATTTGCCAAAAAATGCTATATTATTTATTTATTTATTTTAGAACATCGATATTTTTATACTAGAGAAATTAGGAGTTTGGTTAAACCATACAATGGGTAGTCTAATTTGGTATCGAATTCGTCTTTCACAAGATTCAAACATAAGACATCTCACTTCTAAGCAAAGAAGAATATCATCAGATCATAGTACTGAATGACAAAATGCTATATTCTTTAAACAATTTGGTAACACTGTATTTGAAAAAAGAAACAATGTAATTTACACAAACAATGTAGCTTAACTACGCGAAAAGGAATTCAAGATTGAATGTAGAGTGGACCATACCAATTACTATAACTAATTTGGCTAGGTCTAAATTTGTAACGTAAAATATTATTTGAAATAACATAGGCTTTGTGCTCTTCATTGCACTCATGTTCAAATTTGTTATTGTAAATTAGAAGAATCCTTGAAATATATGATAACAGAGTTTTAAGTGAAGAGATCTCTACTTTGTTTTTCAAAAAATAGAGATTAGTTGTAGAACTTACACCACATCGAACTTTAATGATCTGGAATCCGAACCGTCTCTTTTTCATGTTGCACCTTATAGATCATCACTGCAAAATATTAGCCAAATAAAAAATATTTGATGCATCTAATTGAATTCAAAGAAATTGATGAACAATATGTTCTAAGAAACATTGAAATTTCACCGTAACAATTAAATAGGCAAATGATTTTGGATTGAATTGAATATTTGCAAGGATGACCTATGAGTCAAGACTTACAAAAATATACAGTTCGGACATTGAAGTTCAATTAGAGTGGATCCCATAACTAAACTCTATTTAAAAAAATAAAGATTCTTTCCCTTAAAGATTCTGTATATTATTATTGTAATAAGAACTTTTAATGCCATTTTACGTCCCTCAATTTGGAATCTTTTTCATTCAAATGGGCTCTGAATGGAAACGAAATCTTGGGTCGTCGAGGATGTTTCAACTGGGCTTTTTTCTATATGCGTCTTAAAAGATAATCCATCCCTAACCCAGTAATGCATAGTAATACAGTAATTAGCATAATAATGGTAACTGATTAATACAGTAATTCACGATCCACACAAAGCACAGAAGGAAACGTCTCTTCCTCTTGTACCGCAGATTTCGCGATCTTTTTCACTCTTCATAATTGAGACACCTACCATTTATAATTGCTTACAAAATCATGAGAGATCCAAAGTAATCATTCACTGCAAAGAAATGGAAATGACATAATTGTCATTCCACAAACTTCCATTTTAGCCGGATAATATACTATATCTGGCGTCCACATATGTCTTTCTTGAGAGATACGCGACTTCTGTTTTGTTTAACAGACTAACACCTCATATTTGTCAAATTATACGAGTAAATATGTTGATGTTTCTTTGTCGTTAACCCACTTAATATAGTTGTTTATTGTAGTGATCGACCGCTTGTTTCTTTTATGAGAGATACAGAGGCCTATTATGTCTGACATCTCGCATTTGTCAAATTGTACGCGTAACTGCATTTATCATTAATTTGTCTTGAATACACTAAATGAAGCTATATCCACTATCTCAGATGATCGCGTGCATCTTTCATGAGAGATACGCATATCTGATATCTCATGTTTGTTGCATTATACAATAAACTAAATTGTCAGTTTTTTTGTCGTAAACGCACTTGATGGAGCCATTGACTATCTCATACTCCTGAGCACGTCTTTGATGATATATTTACATGACTGCTTCATCCAACATCTTACGTTTGTTATACTAGTAACTACATTGCCATCACGAGTAACTACATTATGATTACTTTGTCGTGAATGAACTGAATGAAGTTGTCTACTATTAAGAGCACTTGCCTCCATCTCTCGTGGAAGATGTACAAACCTACTTTGTTTGAGATACACCCGTCTACTCAATGAATAAACTTATATTCATCGATCTCAGACGTCAAACTGCATCATTTACGAAAAACAGATACGCATACCTAACACTTCACACTTATCACAACCATAAAACGTTTCTCGAAATAACGGATCACGTAAATTCGTAATCACCATGCATACAATGCCTTAATGACGATCAACAACACGAAATTCTATGAAACTACTTACGAGAGAGATACAACTTCGTCCACAAAAAAAACATGTAAATACATGCGTTCTAACCGTAAACTGTACAAAACGCTCAGCAAGTCACGAGATTCATCTCATCCTACTCTGAACCCAGAGGAGGTTTTCCTACGCAGAGCGACACAGAGCACTGTACTATCGGGGAAGGTGAAGCCCAGTCTGCCGCTCTCCTGATTGGTCCACGTGGGTAACTGTCGTTCTACGTCAGCGAGTACACATATAAATCCCCGGTGAGTCCGCCCCACTTTACCCTTACTTCTCACATCGCAGTTCAAAAAATTAAACCAACAGAAAAAAAAAAGGTCAGAGAGAGAGAGAGAGAGAGAGAGTCTAGAGAGAGAAAGAGGGAGGGTCAGGGCGATACGGTGCGGTCCTCTTTCGGTCTCTTCGTTTCTGTCTTCTTTTTCCTCTGTGTTCCCTCGAACCCAAAAGCCAAAACCTCTCCTTTTCGTTCGTGTCAAATCTCAGCCGTCCGATCAAATGTTACGAGCACCGACCTCGAGCTCCAAACCCCGACTCGGATAAATGGAACTGACGGATTCAGCTGCCGACGAACTCAGAGCAGCGGCAGCCGCCGCCGCCAACGCCGAGCCAACTCGCTCCGTACTCAGCATCGATCTCAATGAGATCCCTTCTCCTTCCGAAACCCTACCCGATTCCTTCGACGTTGTCCGGTCTTACCACGACCACCCTTCGCCGCCTCCCGGCGGCCCGGCCGGAGTTCCCGGCTCAGCTCGAGGATCCGCATGCGCCGCCTGCGGCAAGCCCGAGGTTCGCGGGCACGTGGTGGTCTGCGACGGCTGCGAGCGCGGGTTTCACCTCACATGCGCCGGAATGCGCGGCCGGCAGGCGGTGAATTTGGTGGAGTGGGTCTGCGGGGACTGTCTGAGCGGTGGGGTTAGGAGCAAGCGGTGGCCGCTTGGAGTTAAGGCCAAGCAGATTCTCGATATCAACGCCTCGCCGCCGAGCGACGTCGACGACATCGCGGAAATGCGCGAATTGAGGTAGGTGGTTTCCCGCATTTGCTAAGATATTCAGCTACTAAACTTAGTTTTGCTTTTTCTACTTCTGCTTTCGATTTTTCGAGCTCGTATATGCAAACAAATCTTAAAAACAACGATCGTTAAGGTGTTTATGGACTTACCAAGAATGCCCTGCTCTGTTTATGTGTGGTTTACTACATTTCCCATCATAAATTACATGCTAATAGGCTAGTTCTTGTCGCAGCACTTAATTGCGATCAATGCATGCATGCAAGCATTTAAGGCCATGATAATGCCATTATTTAGCGACTGATTTGGAATGTTCCACTTCGCGCTCTGCATTCGGGTGCCGGTGTTTTGCACCCGAAAGGTTGCTCCTCATTCGAGTATTTGTTTTACATTTTTCAAAGCATCTGGGGAGCCCTGTTGGCTTGGGGTCACCCTTTATCCAGCTTTGATTACCCATTGGCTCATAACTGAGATAATCACTCCAACTCACCACCTTTGGAATACCCAAAAACGAATTATACTCTACATTCCCCAGTCTGCACTATGCACCATGCCACGGGGACTGCCTGTTCGTCCCAAGGCGTTGAATTAGACCTAGGGGAATTTTTGTAGGAATTAGTCTGTCCGATTTTCCTTGTATGAGATTGAAGGGCTTGACATTTGTGTGCCTTTCTCGCTCTCTGTGTGCACGTGTCGGATGAAACACCATGCTACAAGCTTCGTGTGCACGGAAGAAATTGCAGTTTTGGCATTTTATCTTAACTACATTTTTTGTGTTAATTAGGAAGAAATTTATTTTAAAAATTATACTCTTAAAATAGGACAGATCCGTAATGAGCATATTGTTTCAGACTGCTTTAAATTGGATTGTGGATTGGGAAAATAAACTACATGCTAGTGTCTTGTATAAACCATGTACATAAACTAGAAAAAGGAAGCTTTATAACTTCTCTTTGGACATGTGGTATCCCTACTAAGAAACTTCAATTTTCCAAAATGATTTTCAATATATGTGTGTGTGTGTGTGTGTATTTTTAAATGAGTTGCGAGTACTATGGGTATACGGAACTGTCGTAAGAGTTTGCCTTTACACCCAGGTAGCACCTGCAGAATAACTTTGGTATTATACCTTTCGTTGTGTTCCAGCTTTAAGCTGCCACCCATGAATTAAATCAAAACTGATAAGAGCATAACTAGTGTCTTATCGCTTGCATTTTCCTTAAGCGCTTCTAACATTTATGCCGTGGTTGGATTTTCCACCGCTTTATTTCTAAACTAAAATGGTAGAGTTATCCTATATTATGGACCGTTTTCGTACATTTTCTAAACTCATCATTCTTGCCTATTTTGACTACTTCCTTTAAATGTACGCCTTTTGTTGTTGTCTCTCGGGCTTTAAGCTGCTACCTCTAAAGCAACAAAACTGGGGAGCTTAATTATCATTAACTTGTGCCTTACTGCTTGCATGATTCATAAGCGTTTCTAACATTTTTGTGGCTGGTATGGGTTTTACGGTTTGATATTGTGAAACTAAATGGTAGAGTTGTCTTATACTATGGACTGTTTTCTTAGCTCGTCATTATTGCCTCTATTGTCTATTACTCGTTGGTTACTATTTTGATAAATTTCATTAAATGCACATTGTCCATAAGTAGTTACTGCTTAAACTTATTTTGATTATAGAAAGCACACTCCCGGTGGTAATTCTTTTGGTGGCAATCCATTTGGTGCCCCAGTGACAAATTCAAACTTCTTGTACTCTGGAAACGGATATGGCTTGGAAAAAGGTGCTGGGATAATGACACATGCGACTAAAGTGGGTTGGGAAGATATATTGCACTACACACAGACTACGGGTGGAAGCTTTGAGGAATTAAGTTCGAGGTTTCCGCTCGGGAAGCATAGTAATAACAATAATACAGCTATTAGAATACCATCCCGGAGTCCAGATGAGATAGTTCTACAGGCTCTTAGAGATTACGTTTCTGAAAGGCATGGCATACTGGAGGATGGTTGGCGTGTAGAATTTAAACAGTCAACAGCCAGTGGTGAACCATATATAGTATACCGTGCACCAAATGGGAAGACATTTGGCTCAGTATCTGAAGTTGCATATTTTCTTGGCTTGACGCCTAACTACAATTCCATGGGATCTGAAATAAGACGGGAGGGTTCTCTTTCTAATACTGAGAAGACTTATCTACCTAGAAAAAGAAAGTCAAGACTCTTATATGCCAATGGATTAGCTGAAAATAAGGAAAGTTTGCTCAGTGGCTATTGCAAGGAGCTCTCTTCCAATGGTATAAGTACAGAAGCTTTTGCCTGTGGTTTTGGAAATAATGTAAAACTTACTGAAGCAGGGACAGAAGAACATGGTTGCATTGGGTCTCGGCAAAGTACTGTAAGTGTATATTCTCTGTTTGTTATAATGTAAAGCTAATAACGATTCTCCTTAATCAACATAACATGGATGTTATTTCAGCTTGTTTTACTTTTCTGATTTGTGCATTTTTTATTTTCCAGGAGGGATTTCCGGTGCAGTTTGAAGATTTCTTTGTTCTTTCTTTGGGAGAAGTTGATACAAGGCCTTCTTATCATGATTCAAATCAGATCTATCCTGTAGGTTATAGGTCATGTTGGCATGATAAGGTTACTGGTTCTTTATTTGTGTGTGAAGTTTTAAATGGTGGTGATTCTGGACCTGTTTTTAAGGTCAGAAGATGTTCGTGTTCTGCCTTGCCGGTTCCCGAGGGTTCAACTATCCTCTGTAGGTCACAACTTGGCAACTTTTACAGTCAAATTAATCAAGAAAGTCATGACTTGACTTCTGATAATGATGGAAGTATCCAGATGATTCTGTCAGATCCTTCTCCACCTATGGAAAATGATATTTTGTCTTGCCTGAGGAGTTGTTCAGTTGAAGTCAGTGATGTTCAGACATCAGCTGAACCGCAGTTTGAAGATAATTCCGTTTATGAAAAATCTGGAACTCTTTCATCTGCTGATTTGGGTGTGATGGATGACATTGGTGAGATTTCAGTAGAAGACCATTCTTCATCTGCAGCTTGGGGAATGATTTCAAAAAAAATTGTTAATGCTTGTTCTGAAATATTTAAACAGAAGGGCATTCTTAAAGTTTTCTGTAAGCATGTTGAAAATGCTCAAGGCTCCCAAAATGAGGTTATAACAAATGACAGTGGCAACGTGAACCAATCTCCACTGGACAAGTTTTGTAGTTCAGCAGGTTCTGTCAGCATCTCTTCTGAACTTCGGGCCGATGATGAGCCTGGCTTTTCTTATGACGTACTAGCAAATTGGCTAGATCAGGACAGATTTGGATTAGATGTGGATTTTGTGCAAGAACTTTTGGAGCAGCTTCCTGCTGCCCAATCCTGTTCTCAATATCAATTTCTTAACGATAGAAGTTCTAATTCTACACAGCTAACTGTTGGAAATGGGCTTCTAGTGGTTAAAATGGGAGCTGGATTACATGGTAAAGAAGAAGTGTTGGATGGTTTGTTTAGGAGGTCCAAAAAAGTGAAGTTGGTCAAGGATCACCTCAAGAATGATCATCCACCTCCTCATGGGAAGCCATTGTGCTTGAGGATTCCTCCTGCCCTTGTTGATGATGTTTATCAGGTATGAGATGTTTCTTGCAGTTTTTCATTTATTATAATTGTGTTAGTTTTGAGTTTGTGTTGCCACATGATTGACAAGCATGAAGCTTATTCGCCTTTTTTCTTTTTCTACCCAGGTTTGGGAATTATTGTCGCGCTTTGATGAAATTTTGGGTCTAAAGGAGGCTTTTTCATTGGAAGAACTTGAGGAGGAACTTATTGACCCTTGGTTCGGCAGGTCAGATCTTTCAGAGAAGTTCGATAGGGAAAACCAGGGCACTCAAGCTTTAAATTCAAATAGAATTGATTATTCAAGTGGTCAATTATCTTTGACCATGGAGTCTGGCTCGACCGTTTCTAGGAATAATCCACATGCATTCATACATATGGAAACTGGAGCAATGAAGGAGGCAGCTCAAGATAAACTTGCATCTGTTACTTATAGCAGATGTTCTGGCATAGCTTTGACGAAGGCTCATGCATCACTGCTAAGAGTGCTCATAGGTGAGTTGCAGTTTAAGGTTGCTGCCCTGGTGGATCCGAATTTTGATTCTGGAGATCTGAAGTCAAAACGGGGAAGGAAGAAAGACATTGATATTTCAATTCCTGTGAAAAGAGCGAAGGTTAATATACTCCCAATTAATGAACTGACTTGGCCAGAGTTAGCACGGAGATACATCTTGGCTGTATTATCCATGGATGGCAACCTTGACTCGCCTGAGATTACCGCTCGTGAAAGCAGTAAAGTGTTTCGCTGCTTACAAGGTGACGGTGGGGTGCTCTGTGGGTCCTTATCTGGAGTAGCTGGGATGGAAGCAGATGCACTTGTAAGATCAGCTCTTATCCCTTCATGGTCTTTTATTATTCCAACATTTAGTGCTGTTTACTTACGTATTGTTGTAAATGAACCCCCATCTAAACAAAGCTATGTTATATCATCTTGTTTACACAGTTCAGCTACTTTTATCTCCCAAAATACATACCTCTTTAACTTAGTCAACTGCAGCTCCCCATTCAGAATGAAGAAGAAAAAAGAAATTTCTTTAACATCAGTAGGTACTGCAGTCCACAAAGAAGGTCAAACTTTCACTGTATCCTGTAAAGAAGAGAAAGCTATTATGTCCCCGAAAACAATAATCATCCCTTCCTTACTCAAACATTATGCATAATTATTTTGGTATTTGACCCCTGCATGGGATTAAACAAGGTGTCCTCTTAAGAACCAACATACTATCTAGATTAGCTTTTTAAATGTATCTGGTCTTCCTTTAAGGCTGTAGTTGTTCACTCTGACAGTTGTGGCATATGACTGATAACATTTGAACATGTTAGGTTGCACATAAGGCTTAGTTAATTAAATAGTTAAATTGGGAAACGTGTGGCATATTACAAATTGTTTGGCATACTATGCTCTATTGTTTAGAAACGGTATCTGTACTTGTTAGGATGTTAGTTTTACATGTCTCTTATGGGTTCCACTGAGGAAGTGTGATTCATTTCACCTCTTCAATTGGTGGTACTGTAGCATTATGTATCTTTTTCTTCTTTCTTTTGTGTTTTTATGTGCCTCACTCTCCATGTGTAGATCTGGTGCAATGACAGGTGACAAAAACGCATGTTAATCTGTTTCTTTACTTTTCAGTTGCTTGCAGAGGCTACAAAGCAAATTTTTGCTTCACTTAACAGAGAGCATGATGTATTTACCATAGAAGAGGAGGTGTCTGATGGACCAGCTGCTGTTGATAAGAATTTGGGGAATGATGGTAATAAGCCACTATGGGCGCAGGTGTTGGAACCTGTTAGAAAGCTACCGACAAATGTCGGAACAAGAATCAGAAAATGTGTTTATGAGGCTTTGGAAAAGGATCCACCTGAATGGGCGAGGAAAATACTGGAACATTCAATCAGTAAAGAAGTTTACAAGGGCAATGCATCAGGGCCTACAAAGGTGGTTTCTCATTACATAATTATTACTTAACTACTTTTTTCTCCTGGCTGAGTACTTGATAGAATACGAAGATTCATTGTGAATGCCATGTTGACATTGGCCGACTTTTATTGGGAATACATGTTGTGGACATGTTTCCTGTATTATAATACGCCTTTCAACAACAATATTCTGAGGCAGTAATTTACTTATGGTTCTAGGAGCAGTAACTTTGCTCATACTTTAATTTGAATTACCATGAAACTATGACATATTTCTTATAAAAAATTTCTAAAATGATTTTTCTTTTGCACATCGGCTGTAAAATGTAATTTGTTTGTTTGATTAGGTGGAAGGAATCTTTAAACCATCTTAAAACATATTTTCTTGGGATACGCAAGATGAAATTGTGAATGTTCCTTAACTTGCTCCTTACCAAACTAAGGATTATGGTACTGTAAGACTGTCTATGTGTCCAAGTTATATTTATTTGTTCAACCAGTAATAGTAAGCATGATTCTAAATTGGACATTCTTTCTTGTTGGTTGAGCACAGAAAGCTGTTCTGTCACTGCTAGCAGATGTATCGGGTAAAGCATTGCCACAAAAGGCTGAGAAGGGAAGAAAACGGAAGATAAATGTCTCTATTTATGATGTTATCATGAAACAATGCCGCATTGTATTGCGTCGTGCTGCTGCTGCAGATGACACAAAGGTTTTCTGCAATTTGCTCGGGAGAAAGCTAATGAATTCAAGTGATAACGATGATGAGGGTCTTCTAGGATTGCCAGCCATGGTGTCTCGACCTTTGGACTTCAGGACTATTGATTTGAGATTGGCAGCTGGATCCTATGGGGGATCACATGAAGCCTTTCTAGAGGATGTCAGGGAGGTCTGTTTTCTTTGACAATTGGATTTCTTGAAAATTTTTACTGCACACTTCAGCATCTCCGGTGACCCTCTTAGAAACATTACTGAAACTTTAAAGCTGCAAACTTCTGTTTAATTTAAATTTTAATCTGGTGTAGTCCATTAGTTCTAATCGTTACTTTCACTTTGCAGTTATGGAGCAATCTACGTATTGCTTATGGGGATAAGCCTGATTTGGTTGAGTTAACTGAGAAGTTAGCCCAAAATTTTGAAACATTATACGAGGAGGAGGTATGTACCTTTCTGTCCCTTATCCCAACCCACACCTTGACACACACATAAGGCACATTCCTCTGCTGGCCGTTCACTACTCTAATTACAAGCATTTAATCAAGTACCGTACCAGATTCAGTTGTTCTTTCAATGCAGGTTGTCCCTCTTGTTCATAAGCTTGCAGAGTATTCAAAGTTGGAAGGCCTCAGTTCTGAAAGGAAAAAGGAAATTGATGATTTACTTACTTTCACAAATGGGATTCCCAAAGCCCCTTGGGATGAGGGAGTTTGCAAAGTATGCGGCATTGATAAAGATGACGACAGTGTACTGTTGTGTGATACTTGTGATTCTGAGTATCATACATACTGTTTGAATCCTCCTCTTGCAAGGATCCCGGACGGAAACTGGTATTGCCCCTCTTGTGTTGTTTCTAAACAAATAGTTCAAGATGCATCAAAACATCGTCTGGTCATTAGAAGACGTCGTAAAAATTACCAGGGAGAAGCTACCCGGGTTTTCTTGGAGACACTTGCACATTTAGCAGTGAAAATGGAAGAGAGCGAGTATTGGGATATCAACGTTGATGAGGTTTGCACATCGATGCCTTTATGTATAATTTTTCTAGTCACACTAGTAATATGGCTGACCACAAGTGATTGCATTGTCTTACTGGTCCCGCCATTTCTTTTTGGCATGGTCCATTAAAAAAATCACCCTATTGTTATCACTTATTGTATAGCTAGAAAGTGCACCACTGGACCTTTAAAGATTTGAGTATGATGGTGAATTATTGTTATTTTTAATCATTGTTTATAAACTTACAGTTATCCCTTTTACTGTGCTTGCAGAGAACATTCCTGCTGAAGTTCTTATGTGATGAGTTGCTTAGTTCAGCAGTTATTCGTCAACACCTTGAATATTGTTCTGAGACATCAACCGAGTTGCATCAGAAATTGCGTTCTTTATCTGTAGAATGGAAGGTCCTCAGGTCTAGACAAGAAATTTTGGTTTCAAGAGCTGCAAAGGTCGATGCTGGTGACGGTACAAAGGAAGGGATTTCGGCTTCGGTTGAAACCAATGAAAGATGTCTTCATCAACCACAGGTTTTGAGTGGCAGGTCTAACTCCTTCAATGCAGTCTCTGATGATTCGGCACTAGAGGGTGCTCAAGGGTTTGATAAACACCCATCTGTCAGTAATGCAGAATATAATAGCCAACATTCTGTAGACACTGAAGTTAGGGAAAAAGATGTCCATTCTGCTTCAGATGACATCTCTGCACCTGGGAAGTTTTCTTCACATATGACTGCCGATAAAAGTGAAATATCCTCTAGACAAATTGAGTTTCCTTCATCAAATTGTTTGCCACATGAAATCAATGGGTCTAGTAAAGAAATCGGTTGCGTTGATCATCCACAAGACAATGCGGAAATGGATGTTTCTCTGCCTATAGATCAGAAAGGAATTAGCAACCCTTCAGATGTGAGGAGTAATCATGTGGGAGAGCAGATGTCACCTGCTTCTGTGAATGAATCAGAGTCCTACCACCTTGAGTTGAACTCTGTCAAAAATGATTTATCAGTTTTGGAGGATTTGATTGCGAGTACAGAATTCGACCTCTTAAAGGTGTCGGTGCGGAGAGAGTTTTTAGGAACTGATTCCCTTGGTGGCTTATACTGGGTTTCAGTTCTTCCGGGTGGACATGCTTGGATTATTGTAGATCGAAGTGTGTCATTTAAACATGGTATAAATATGAAAGATTGCAGAGACCCTGTATGGAGGAGTTCTGTTACACAGAGTTGTGGTCCAAACAACAGCATTTCCTTTAGGGCACCTTGGGTTTCTTATCAAACTGATACAGAAATTGAAGAACTTATGGTTGGTTAAAGAACAAGCACCCTAAGGAAAGAGAGCTGAGGGACTCAATTCTGCACTGGAAAAGGTTGAGGTTCCAAAAGTTTGAGAAAATTAGAAGCCGAGGTCAGGATGATCACCTAACTGCTATTTCAGTGACTAGAAATGCTGATAAAACTGAAATTTCTGATCGTCTTGGTACTAGGGCAGCCACTTTGCTGAAGAAGATGTATGGTCCATGCTCCGAGATGGAAACCACCGACATCTCCAAAAAGTGGGGAAAGAGAGCTAGAGTAACCAATGATGAGAAAGGGTACCGGTGTGAATGCTTGGAACCCATTTGGCCCAGTAGACACCATTGCCTCTCTTGCCACAGAACCTTCTCCACTGATGCTGAACTTGAGGGGCATAACAATGGTAGGTGCATTCCAACTTCAGCAGCCTGTGAGAAGGGAAGGGAAATAGGTGATTCTTCTAAAGTTAAGGGGAGTATGAAGTGTGAGATGAATCGGGAAGAGGGCAGAGGTGAACTGAACAGTGTTGAAACTTCTAAAAGTGCTTGTTCAGAGCTTAGTGCAAAGTTGATTAAGTTTCAAAATGGAAGTTTAGGTTGCCCATATGATTTTGAAGAGATCTGCTCCAAGTTTGTGACCAATGATTCAAACAAGGATTTGATACAGGAAATAGGTCTCATAGGTTCACAAGGAGTTCCATCTTTTGCCCCAGCATCTCCTTATCTGAGTGATTCTACGCTAGCGACAATCTCTCAGAAAGATGTCGGTGTATCTGGTAATGGACTGGGGCCTGCCGAACAGCTAGTTTCACAAGGAAAGACTAATGTTGATATTGTAAGCAGTAACAATCTATCCTGGACAGGTGATGGAATGATGTTACTAAATGCTAACAAACTAACTTTGGGATCTCTGGAACGAGGGGAGGAAGGACATTCAAATAGCCATTCTTCTGTTGTGGGGGCTGGTCGTTTCTGTGTGGTCCCCCAGTCTTCTTTGAGGCCCTTGGTTGGCAAAGTTTGTCAAATTTATAAGAGACTCAAGATCAATCTGCTTGATATCGATGCTGCAGTCCCTGAGGAAGCTCTAAGACCATCAAAGGCACAGTTGGAAAGGAGATGGGCCTGGCGTGCGTTTGTTAAATCAGCAGTGACAATATATGAAGTTAGTATTTTTTCCCTTTGTTCTTTGTTTGAACAGTACTTTCTTAATCTTTCTCATGCTATTGAATACATTTGTGCATCTTGCTTGACTAGCTTTGCATATTTGAGGTTGTTAGTTCTGTTACTAATTCAGTTATGTGGTGGAGCATTCTTAGGCCCCCTGATATAATGTTGTAACATACATCAAGGGTTGTGTTACCGTCTAATTGTGAATAAGGGTAATTATCAAATAATAGGTTTTCTGGCAGAATCCAATATCTATTTCTACCCAACGGAGCTCTTTAGCAGTCCAGCATAGACTTGGCTGATTGGTGGAAATTTGATGGTAGCTTGTTATAGCATGATTTTGATTACTTTCAGTAGAATTGACCCGTGGACTAGTGGAGAAATAGCGATCTACACTTTAATTATCCTATTCTTTGGCATGGAATAAAGAAAGCACAAGAAGACTAGATCCTCTCAAACGACCTTTAAGTTATTGTTGCATAATGTGATTTTTATTTTTTGTAGCAACTTTTTGTTTAAACAACCCAATTTAATATCATACGTATCTTCGTCAATTTCTTGGCATGATGCGAATAACATGCTTGGTATTTCAGATAGTTCAGGCAATGATTGTGCTGGAGGACATGATAAAGACTGAGTATCTAAGGAATGAGTGGTGGTATTGGTCATCATTTTCAGCTGCTGCCAAAATTTCAACTATCTCTGCACTTGCTCTGCGTATATACTCTCTTGATGCTGCTATCCTGTATGAGAAGATGCATCCTAGTTCCAATCTGACCGACAAGTTGGAGCCCAGCAGCGCACTGGACCTGAAGCCGCTTCCTGTTTTGGATTCAGCAGAAAAAACAAGGTCAAGCAGGAAATCTAACAAGAAAAGGAAGGAGACAGAGGGTTGATATTAGTGTGATTCTGAGTTTGTGGAGATTAATCCGGACAGGGTTGTTCTCAGTGGACATGAAGCAGTTGTGGGTGACAGTGAAAATGACCGTCACACCACATTTTGGGTGGCATTGGACCAGAACAAACCAACAACTAGTTTGACAAATTGAAGGTAGTCACTGCCGCTGCTTCTGAAGCGTTGATCTGTACATAAAGGGTAAAGCTTACATGCTAACTTGGATGCGGAGTATGAAAGCAGTGTTTGTACAATATCTGCTTAGAGGATTCGAGTAGCTGGACAAATTTTATATGTGCAGATGAATCCAATTTTCAATGATTTCTGCTGCTGCTCTCAGAATTGTTGCTTGGAAATGGAGAAAAGGAATCAACTGGCAAAGAGAGCGAGACCGATATATAGATATAGTGGGAACTTAGTGTAAAAAGACAGAAAAAACGAAAAAGAAAAAAATTGGCAAATGTTGAGCTTTTCAGGTTTTTAGGCAATATTTCATTCTTTATACAACTCTCTCTCTCTCTATCTCTCTCTCTCTCTCTCTCTCTCTCTCTCTCTCAGAGTGGCAGTTCTTGAGGTATTTGTGCTGGCTGATGAACCTCTGGGTCTTACTTTTTTACATCGCGAGGACTCAGGGGTGTTGGCATTGGCACTCTTTTCACATGTGATATACTAAGGTTATTGGTTCTCACTTCTCGGTGCTTTGCTGGCCGACCAATTTTCTATTCAGGTAGTCTGCGGACGCTGCACTCTGCTGCCAGCCTTCCCTTTGTAGCCGGGTAACAGGTAACAGAAGTGCATTGTTTGTCAATTATCATTACTGCAAATTTTCGTCGGGGGAAGAATTATATAGTTACTTAGAATTGCGCAGCTTTTGATTAGATCATTGGTAATGTTATCTGAGACTTATATAAGCTCCATGGGACCAAGAAAGCTAGGTCTGTGAGCTTCTGTGAGCACCATTGCACTTTATGCATCGGTCGGTTGGACCTTTGTTTAGCCGGACGATTCTTTTGGCTTGATTGAGCCCTGGTTTGGCTTAGCTTAACTTTTATAAAAAGTGGGTATGAAAAAAAGTTGGAGCATTTTAGTGTTTGGTAAACACTTTAAATCAGTTTTTTTTTTTCAAAGTTATGAGTGAAAAAAGCTGAAAACTAGAGGCTGGAATGGAAATAGCAGCTTCAACAAAACGGTTTATTTTGGTAAAACATGGATGAACAGTAAAAAATAAATGAACTTGGTAATACGTCGGGTTGCAAACTTCAATCTAATTGACGATGGTGATCTAACCCTGACCATCGCACCAAACAAACACTGATCCTTTGATTCAAAGGTACAATAAGATGCAGTGAGACAAAGAAAACATTTTTCTTTGATCTAGAAACAACAAAACGACGTTCAAATTGTTTTGCAGGACCGAAACGCTAGACGGGAATGAGTCAATTGCAAACGTTTCGAGCTGTGGGGTGATCTCCCCGTCAAATGAGATGTGGGGAAGGGTACAAAGGTGGGTGAGGATTAAGAAATTTCAGGAGGGGGATCGTCTGTTTGTCAATTGTTGTTAAAATGGAGAGATATTATTGTGAAACCATGGTGGGGCTCCTCTGGTTTTGCTGGGTTACTTATATGTTGCGAAACCTTTCTATCTCCCCCATTTCTCAATTTGTTGGTTGAAAGAGGATAAGCATTATCCATCTAAGTCCTTAAATTAAGAATTGCTAATCCAATCCCCATAACAAATCCAACACCTCAACCTCTGTTCGTAAACTACAAGATAAATGATGAGCAGCACCAATCTAAAATCAAAATCTAAAACAAAAATCAAATCTAAAACCGAAACGAAAAGATGGAAGGAGCAGCATCAATCAAGAAGAAAGAGTAGTTCAATCAAAGAATTCAGTTGCGCACCCGGATGCGATTTCAGTTTGTGATGTCTTTGTTTATGAATGGGAAGTGACTACATAAGAGATGAAATGGAGGGGATGAAATGACCATCTTATCCTCACATGTGAAATTATTTTTTTTTAAATTTCTTAATTATAAATATTTAAGATAAAGTTTATAAATATTTTTATTTTAAAAAATAAAGTATATTTAGTGATTCATCTTTATTTGTTAAGAAAATTAAGTTAATGACATATCTAGTATTATACATTTTTTTGTATAACCGCTTTTTTTAAATTAAGTTAATGACATATCTGGAAATTAAGTTAATGACATATCTAAGTTAGTGATTCACCTTTATTACATAAAAATTTACCAAACATTATATAACCGTTTTTTTCTTTTTCAAAAGCACTTTTACAAAAAAGTTTACCAAACACTCTACTGTTTTATTTCACAGTTGCTTATTCTCATGGCACAACATAAGCAGTTTTTTTTCAAAGCATAGCAATACCAAACCAACTACTACATGTGTATTGTGTTGTTCGGATTTGTTTCCTCTGTAGCCATTGGATATGATGTTATCGTTGTCGATGACCAGTGCAATGTGTCTTTCTTTGTTCTCTCTATAGCAGATGGTTTGTATATATGTAAGTTGATTTCGGGTTTGGGTTCATCCTACATGGGATTGGCTAGACTACCTGATACGTTTTGGAGGTTGATCGCCGTCAAAGTAGTCGGAATGCATCCCTTCTCTTTCCTCGCCAAGCTACCGGCCCTTATAACGGTGCCCAGCTACCGGCGGTAGATGATAACTTAGAATTGCTCAGCTCGTCTCTTCCGTTTGATTTGGATCATTAGCAACAATTATCTGTGATCTATGTAAGCTTAGTAGGATCAAAGAAGAGATTTGTATTGACATCTTTGCCCGTGAATATATAACGTGTTGGATATAAGTCAACAATTTGTGATTTAAATATATATGCTAATAAACAATAAATGCAATAGGAATTAACAGAATATAAACTAGAATACGAATTATAAAAACAGACAACTTGAAGATCGAGGCTTGCGTACCGCAATGTCCTTGAAACAGAAATTTCGTCCCTACTCAGTGCTTGTAGTTCTACAGACGTCTGCTTCACCAGGATTCAACGATCTAAGTCAGAAATTCCAGCATCGGAAAATTGACTTCTGGCGAATATTAATGTGGTTCTCTCAGAAAGGATGTTTATGATTGCAGGAGAAGATTTATAATTTTTCTATTTCTAAATGCCATGCAGATGGATGTATATATAATCTGATTATACCTGTTCGCAACAGGTATGAGGAAGGGATGCATTTGTTGAGAGACATCTGCTGAAAATGGTGTTTTTGTTTTTGCGTTTTCACACTTCAGACTTCATCTGTTGGTAAAAATAAATAATTAATTAATTTAAATTCGAAATTAAAAATAATTAATTAATTCCAAAAATAATTAATTAATCTTTTGACAATTAAATATATATTAAATATATATTAATTATAATTAATTATATATATTAATTATCAATTAATTAGTACACCCCAAAGCCCAACCCCAAAGGTGAGCCCAATTTTAGTCTCCAGGCTTATTACTCCAATCACTTTCTATAAAGGACAAAGCCTTATAAAGTGATAAAATCTTTTGGGAATGGCCATTATGGGACAAATAAATTTCTACTCAAACTATTCAAATTTCCAACATAACGTCGTTGAGGAAAACACTTTATTACACTTTCAGGGGAAATAGAGTAATTAAGCAAATAGGTAGTACACTTCAATTTAGGGGATTTAGCCATTTATGACCATCCCCACCAGTTCAAAGAAACACCTTCCTCCTGTGCTGCTTGCTGCTCCGCTGCTGCGGCTGCAAAGACATCGGAGAAGTAACACTGGCCGTCATCGCTACCGTCATCTTCTTCTGAGTGGACTCCTCTACGATGATGTTCTACATGATCATGTGGCGCCGTGTATTGATGATGATGATGATGATGATGAGTGTCATGATCATGAGAGTAGTAATTGTGGATGTTGTTTGGGAAATTATAGGAGTCACTGCTGTCCACAGGCTGAGGGCCTTCGGCCTCGTCCACCACGGCACTTCCTCCGCTCCCTGAGCTCAGGCGGTCCTCCACCTTGACGCTGCAGCTATACTGGAGACTAGTTATCGGAACAACCTCCGTCAACTGATCACCGGCTGGAAGAAGAGGGCCGCGCTTCTCGTCATCGTGATCATCCGCTGCAAATGCTGTTGCTTTTGTGCTACTAGCCTGCTCTTTACCTCCAAGCTTCTCGTTTATGGAAACCACCTGTATTCATTTGATATAATTAATTAAATTCCAAATTTTCATGCGTGAGATCATATATTAAAAAAAAATGCATGAGATCATATAGTAATTTAAGTTATATAACTAGATCAAAACGAGTGTGCAGCACTTCGAACGTTTAAGGGACATTCACATTTTGATTTGAGATATACTTCGCGAATTTTGTGTAAAGGATAAAGTATAAGGAGAATGCGTTCATCGCAAGCGCGATGTTCCAAGCTACTAATAACTCGAAAGATGATTGTAACAGTAAAATCCGTCTCATAAAAGTCTTTCTTACAAAAGTACTTACCAATGAATGATGATGAAATGTCCACTAACCATTTTAACATGCATCTTTATATATATATATAACTTGGAAAAATACCACAGTATATTCGTTCTGTGACTCTGAAAGTGGCTTTTTTATATTCACAGTGGGGTTTGACACAGATGCTATCTGTTTGATGGAAAGATATAAAATAGTGACGAATCTGATGTGTAGGGACCACATTAAATTTTCATTTGTTTTAGCTAGGTGTTCCCTAAGGTACAATACATAATTTTTTTTTCATACAATATATTTTGTTAGATTTGATGTTAGATTAATCATGGGTTCAAACTCATGTCATCATGCAATAAAGGATCATTTGCAAGTACAATACTGTGGTAAAGGATCACTTACATAAGAAAAAGAATTTGATCCAACACTCATATCATAGGGATTCGATTTAAAAAAATAAAATGTTGGCTGTCGATTACCTACCTCACTCCCTCTCCTCTTTTATTCGGATTTAAGACTGACAACATAAAATAAACTTATACAGACGGAATCATATGAATAATAATTTGCGGCAATATCATGCTTTTGTCCGACTTCAAGTCAAGTTATTTAATATGTTATTAGCGCTTTAAAGATAATTGTTATGTTCACTCTCCTTAAAACTATAAGGGATTATTGCAAATGATATTTTGAAGTGCTAATAATAGTTTTCATTAAAATAAAGTCGATTTGAAATGATTTTAATCTTTCTCTCATCTGAATTGAAAAAATTACTTGGAAAACCAGGTAATGCAATACTAGTGATAATTTAAAATTACCTGGGATTTGAGCTTCTGATTCTCCTTGAGGATGGAGTCGTAATCAGACAAAAGGGTGTCATAGGAAGACTTGAGAAGGTCGTAATCGCGCTCGAGCTGCTTGGTCTTCCACCGAGCGCGGCGGTTCTGGAACCACACGGCCACCTGTCTCGGCTGCAGTCCTAGCTTCTTGGCCAGCTGCGTCTTTCGCTCCGGCTCCAGCTTGTTCTCTGTCTCAAAGCTCTTCTCCAGCATATGCACCTAATCATTTTAATTAATCACAGAGAAAAAGAATCAACACTATGATCTCGTAACAGCGACGTGATCAATTTACAGCCATCAGATTGATTTTATTACTTTGATCATATTCATATCTGATGATTTGATTGCATGCTATATAACAAAGTCAAAAAGAAGAGAACAAAGTTGAGATAGATCAGATAACCATCTGATGAATCGATGCTGATAAGGTGAATATGCCAGCATCAGCATATATACATATATACCTATCTATGTATGTGTGTATGGTCACCATCCATTCAAAACAACAACAACAACAACCAAGTCTTATCCCACTAAGTGAGTTCACTCTATAAATCCTAGAACGCTATTGCACTTGGTTTTTGCATATTTGAGCCAAAATCTATGTCATGGCCAAATATTTAGCTTAATTAGGGTTAAGGAATATAATTCTAAGACAACTTAACAGATTAAAAAGAGAGGCAGATGCACGTTAGTTCAGTTGACCTGGACAGTGTGTGTCCCTTTATACCCTAGTTCGAAATTCAGATCATGTTCAAGTAGATTAGACTATACTAGTGAAAAACACACTGATAGCCACAGAATAAACCCTAATTGTTGTTCTCGGGACACAAGAGGTTTTAGCCACGACAAACCGTGCTTTTGTGTGGCCTCTTTGACCATTGGCCACGGTATAATTAATACTACTTGTCACCGGACTTTTTACAGTTCATTCCGACTTTTTACTGTTAGTTTAGGATATGATCACCTTGTAAAAAAAACGAGAGATGTACAAACCTGGTCAGAAGTGAGGCGGCGCTTCTTCTCCGGCAGCTGCTCGTCGTAGTATTCCTCGTCGAACAGTTCGTCCTGCGACGAGGAGGAGCTGAAAAAAGGTCGCCTCCGTGAGCTCTCCTGATCCATCAATCCCATCATCGATCTTTGCCCTTCATCATGAACAACCAACATCCATAATCCCAAATCATTAATATACTAATATAAATCAATAATCAGCTACCATAATCAACAAAGTCAAGATTTGATCAAGTAATCACCTCGAAAACCGTGATCAGGATTGCCGAGGAACAACATGTTGCCACCACCACCTTGCTGGCAAACCGCCGACGACGGCGAAGGTTCAAAGAAAAAACGGCCCGGCTCCATCATCTTTTCCAGCTAAACAACTGATCTCTTGATCTTCCTCTGGTGAACTCCGAGCGCTGGCAGGAACTGGTGGCGCGTGAATTCTCCGCCGTTGATTCTTTCTTAAAGACTGAATATTATTATGTACTTTGTTTTAAGGGGTCTGGAATTAATTAGAAAATCATAATCTTGTGGCGGAAAAAACTGGTGCTCCAAAGCAACCTCGCCGGAGTCTCCAAAGGACATATACAAAATCCCATCATACCACCACCGATCTTTTCCAGCACTGCCGCCCGAACAACGGTTATGGCGAAGAGATATAGTAATATTGAAGCTTTATGTAAGACAGGTTCAATAGTAGAGAGTACTATCAAACAAGAAGTTGGAGTTTAACGCTCCAAAACCTCCATGGAAATTGAGATGGTAAGGCCGCCGGAGCTTAATTGAAAGTCCGCCGGAGAAGGAGGATAGGATTTTTGCAAGGTGGTGGCAGAATTGGGATATGGTGATCGGTGCGTCGCTCCTAGGTGTTTTTTGCAGCTAAACTTGAAAGAGGCGAGTCTAGCCCATTTTATATACGTCGCATGCATATGCAACGTCGAAAATACCCTTTGAAATTGACTTCCACGGCATTTTCTCATTGGATATTTGAGTATTTTCGAATTGTTGGACTTGAGTGCATGTGGATAAACCATTGCCACAATTTTCCTAACAAATCTAGATGTAGGGAAGTTAATCACGGTGTAGTTTAGTGCATGGCGCGAATTCTAAGTATTGTACAGGGTTGGCTTAAGATTCGATTTTTGGGACGGTTGAACTACACGATGGTGGTTGGAGAGAAGTTGCAATGCCTTTGTGAGTTTTCTCAACTTTTAAAATAGTGAACTGTCGTGACTTCGCCACCAACTGATTTTTTTTGTAAGAGAAGAAAAGTTGAGTTGAGGAGTATGTTTATTACTTTGCATCTGATAAAATCTTATTTTATGTAATTTAAACTAGATTATAATATCATTCGAATAAGATGAAAATGATTTTACATCTAACAAAGTACGAAATTTTATTTTCTTTTGAATATTTTGAAGAGAATAATTCTATTCCAAAAAAAATGACCAAAACTAAATAATTTTTTTTGTAGTGATGCAACAAGGACGGGCCCACGGCACATCTGTTCATGTGGGATGCGTCGTGGGGTGTGCGGGTTTTTGAGGCTTATCGTGGTGCGAGTGCCAGCCAATAAATAGGTCCCATGCTTGGTGGTCGGGGGATTGTCTGATCCACATCACCCCAATTGTTGTGTTCTGATAAACGGTTCTGATTCTCTCCTTTTTTTCTAAACATTTTTTACCCGGCCAACTCCAACCCTCTCTCTCTCTCTCTCTCTCTATCAATTTTTTATACAAATATCATAACCAACTTCTAAACTCAATTGCTAATGGAGAATCTCAACATTTCTTTTTCATTTGGTAAAAAAAAATCGGGCGAGTGATTTCCGCACGTTCATCTTTTTTTCTTTCAATCTTTATAATTCTTAACTTGAATAAATTAAATGAGAACGAATCGGGAAAAGTATATACTATATCACTTACTATTTGTCTATAAACACTACAAGTTACATATTTCGTTAATTTTTTAAGGGACGGGTTGATGGGTTTGCCACAACAGTACATCTTTTCAGAGGCTGAAAATGCTCACAGAAACATTTCACAAATTATTGACAAAGCATGTTCCACATGATACAACAAGGATCAAACACAAGTTAATACCTTTAATTTTAGAGTTTTCTTCTTCTTGTTCTTGCCTAAACCATAGCAAACTCCTTGCTTAAATGTTCCTTCTGCTAAGTAGCTGTAAGCCTATAACCAATTTCCTATATAAATGCAAAGCAGAAGAAACAAAAGGGAGTGGCCTCGTCTAAATTAAAGTCAAATGAAAATGGTGGGGTTACTTTTTTTATTTCTGATCATTTCATTGTCGATATTTGACACAATTTAAGATTTTTTTGAGAATTAAGAGATAAATTTTGATAAGGCTGATTGATTAGAACAACTTCTGTATTATAAAATCAATATGGAGTAAGGTAGATGTGACAACTTGTTCCTACTTTTCACTGTAATTTCTTTTCCATTGATGTGTTTTGACATTTTTACCTTTTTTGGGCAAAAATGGAATCTGACGTGGACGTGGTTTCGGCTTTCAGTTTCTTCTTCCTAGTTTCATACTTAAATAGTACTCGTCAATACGAACGCATGAGCTCGTGTTAGACTCGAATCAGACATGTAACGAAAAAGTTATGCTTCGTTAAAGTACGTTAATTACAGATATTTTTGTACACTCGCATACAAAATATCAGTGTCGGAAACACTGTGCTGGATAGATTTTTTGATTCCTTTTACTGTAGGAAATCTGAAAAACCTATCCGTAATTTCTTTTTAACCTAACCCGCGCCTTCCCTTGTCACTCACCAATCAAACTTTCCCATTTTCACTCTTACCAATCACATCTCTTCCCACTTCCCTACACCCAATCAGAAAAAAAGAGAAAAAGCACCATCTCTCTCTTCATTCTCTCTCCCCCTCCCGAAGTCTCTCATTCTCTGTAATCGCCATGAACGAACACCAAAGCTCGTAGATCGAGCCCAAAAATCACACCATTGTGTTCATCTCACCACCATGAACACAATTATGCCCTTGGATCGTGGTTTGACCGAGTTTTGGACGTCGAACTCAGAAGTTCCGACTAGGCTTAGTTTTTCCCTACGAGTTGCGAACAAGTTACAAGTTTTTAGGATGTCTAAAGGCCTCCACTCAACTCCCTGAGGTCTTTAGTGAAGGTTTGGGGAAGCTTTAATGTGAAACAACCCGGTTTCAAGAAGTTGAGTTTTTGGCCGAACCTTTCGAGGCTTTTTCAAGCCACATTCGTCCACTTTTTGGACTTCAAAAAGGTATAACGCGATTCTACTCTTCATAAGCTTCATTTCTAAATAAATTTTGTGAAAAATAGTTGAAAAATGAAGAAGATATAAAGGTTTGAAATTTTACCCAGAAACCGGCGGAAATTTCTAGATTCCGGTGAGTTCAGACGACGGCGGACGGAGGCGACCGCCGAGGACCACCGGAGAAGATGAAGGAATATTCCGTCAAAGTTGACGGAATATTCTAACAGCGTCAGGTAATGCTGTTAAACTTTGTTAGTTATTTAACGGAATATTCCGTCAAACAGACAAAATATTCTTGACGAACATTAGGGATGCCTGGGCGTGGTGGCAAGTATGGCCGTGCCTTAGCCGGTGCGTGAGGGCGTGTCCGATCTCTGATTTGCTTTCTGTCAATTTGTGTAGGTCCGTGACGTTAAGTAAATCGATTTCGTATATTCAAACCTTATATTTGAGCAATCTACGGAGGTTTTATTTAAGTTTCCATATAGGTATTATTAAACTAATTAAATTAGTAATTTCACATTTAGGGGAAACGTATCCTGAGGACGTACGGGGTCAAGTAAGGCTCGGAGGCTTCGTTTCGACTGCGTATCTGTGAGTGGGCAGTTTGTTTTTATACCTATATATAATAATAGTTTCCATGAATGCGTATTTACTTCATTTTTACACTTATATTGCCAAGTATCGTTATTGTGATATTAAATGTGATAAATGCTACTATATGGTTGGTATATTACTGTCATGACATTCATACATATTTGTATATACTCATCTTGCTGCACCCCGGTATTTGTACTCTTCCCCAGGCCAGGGCCAGTCATTCACGTGTATGTTCACATCCGCACCATTCGCTCGTTTTGGATCCAAATTAGGTGCTAACTTGTCGTACAAATTGCATTAGGCAATTCCGACTTGTATGTGACCGTGCTTTTGCACCAGCCTTCACGTGATCATAGTACTAGAGCGTATTGATTACACCCAATCCTGTTCGTGTCATAATTTATCTATACGAACTCGTGTGTCAGCTTAGATGGATGAGCACTTATTTATACTTGATTATCATATGAGTATACTGCAACATTTGATATATCATGACTTGGCATACTTCTGGTTATATTGTTGTTGTATTGTTGTTTACAAACTTATGTAGTATGTTTTAAGGAAATTATACTTATTTTACAGCGAGATGTTATTATATTCGAAAATAAAGGTTTACTACAAACGTTGTTTTGCTGACTCACTCAACTTTGTTTTTCGCCCCTCCAGGTTTAGTATTTGTGCTTACGTGTAAACGAGGATTCTGGCAAATCTCAGGAGATAGTTATCTTCAGTGGTATAACCCTCATCCTATTTACTATATTGTCTTATGCTCTGACATCAAGTGTGAAATGGGTTTAATTCCGCTCACCCGTGCACTCTTTTGACTATGCACTTTTAGGTTTAAATTTATTAACTTCCTTTTCCACTACACTACACTTTATGGTTTTGTCACCCTCTAGGTGTCGGCCAACACAACTTAATTTGGAGTCCAAGTAAACATTCTAGGTCGGGATATGTCCGTAGAACTGAAATACATGGTAAAGATCCTCTCCGGATCAATTCCCTCTGAATCCCCAATAAGGATCCTTTTATACCTGCATCAGCGCAGACCTCGTATCGTAACCCTCACCCTCGCGACCAGCAGGCCGTCTTTCTCTCGTTGCCACCGGCAATGACGGTGAGCTGGGATCAATGACATAATTGACACCTTAACCCAAAATTTTATCCCAAGACATGGCTACTATTCCCCTATCTGAGTGACGAACGCAGTCATATTTTAGTGCTTATAGCAATATTGTGCCACGCACTTAATATTATAATGTAGTTGAAGATGATTTTTCAATAGTTTAATTACTAGTGCCAAAATTATGCCATTTTCTTTCTCTAATACTTGAATTCAACCTCCATTTTTTTTTAGTTCTATACTTTTAATTAAATATAAGAAAGATAAAAAACTTAATCATTCAAGGGAATCGAGGGATGAAATGTACTTGTCATGTGGTGCATCAAACGTACAATAAGTTGATTAACAAACGATTTGTCGATATTGCCGAAATATAATATGAAAGGTAATGCTTGGAGACTATATTTAAATTGTATTTTGTATATCAGATATAGTTGTTGATGATTAAATTGTTACTTAAATGTTGATTAACGTTCTTATTTTTTTATTGGTGAAATATCATGTAGTTTGAATTGTTGTCTAAAAAGTTGGTCAACCTAAGTATATTATATATTAAAGAAATGTTGTTGAGAGTATCAATCCCATATCCGAAAAAAAAAAGACCTTGCTTGCACTTATAAGTAATTGCGGTATTCTCCATATTACCAATTAATTTTAAGGAAAACTAATAAAAGACTTGAAAACTTTGAGTTTTAAAAATATGGTTTTTTTGTTAAAGTAAACAATACTGTGAGCTTTTCATTAAAATTCTCATAATTTTATGGTGGAACCCCAACTTTATTTATTGTATCAGAGCAAGGTTGTCGCGTGTGTGAAACCCCTGACCACACATACTTCATATCACTCGATTTATGGTGTTCAAACATATATAAGAATTGCAGGTTGTTTAGCAACTGCACTTGGAAGAGGACCATCAAACTTCGTATTTATGGGACCCTGAGAGAATAAAAGTTTTTCTTTTTGTAGTGGAAGATAAAGGAAAAATAGAGACTATCCACAAAAGTAACAAAGTTACAAAAAAAGTAAATTTTTCTAATTATTTTCTTCTTCCTTTTAATTAAATAATTTCAGTCGACTAATTTGAAAGGTGTAAAGACATCTTTTCAAAAGGATGTTGCATACTCTGCTAGTTTTCGATTTTGTCCCGATAAGAATTTGTATCAACCTTTGCACATGAAGACCTTATTTGTGAATATTCAACGCTTTGGTTATAATTTTTCTTCTAAGTGTTATTATTATTCTAAGCTGGACTACGATAAGGGAGAATAATTTAAATTCGGCACATTATAGGTTGAAGAGAAAGACTTTATTCACCAAGACAGTTTACCATTTAGTAATTTTGCTACCTTAATTATAAGTTAATTATACTGACAATTTAACGAGGATATTAGCAGATTTTTCACCACAATTTCAAAATGATTTACAATGGATAAACTCATAGACTATTTCAATCAATTTTCATTGTCAAAATCAAATTGTGAAGTTATATCAATTTCAAAGACTATTCTGATTAAACAATGTAAAGGAAAAAAAGCCTGGATGCACATTATTTTGGTGCTTACCAAGGTGGTCCATTTGGTATTGGCAGACAGGAATTTTCCTCTATGTTATATATATATATATATATATATATATTATATGTATTTGGTGAGTTCATACAACATTGACTTAACCAATCTAGATCAAAGCATGTGATGTGTCATGAGAAAATGATGGAGGTGCACATGTGTAAGCATCTTAAGTTTGTCTTAGAAAATAAGCAATATAATATTAATGAAATCCAGAAAATTAAAATGTTCAAGCAATACAACTGATAAAAAAATGCAGCTCGAATCTTATAGATTGCAAAGTAGCTTATCATAGGGATATAGTGGATAGATATTGAGTTTTTACTTATGCATTTCGAGTTTGAAACTTTACATTGATCTAATTATTGTAATAGTTTCGAATTCGCTATTTTCCTTTAATAATAAAAATTTTAAAAAACATAGAGATCTAATTCACATCTAACATTTTTTTTTTAAATTTTGATAAATTTAAAAATTGAAATAGTATTGATAGATCATAGATTAGATGAATGTCCATTTTCCATGTGTTGGCCAGTTGTGTACCAATGGCTTCGTTCTCTAATGTGGGAATATATACGTAGCAATTTCAAATTTAATAATTAAAAAAAAAGAATCAAATTGAACAATTAAAATTAAAATAAATACTTTCCATCCTAAGAAGGAATGAGATTCACTTCTCCCCAGAAGATAACAAGTCCTCAGAATCTGTTTCTTTAAGCAAGAAAGATGGTAAGCATTTTACAAGTACAATTTTGTCAATCTTTTATTCTCTTCAAGCTATAGCAGCAATAGGGTTTCTGAGTCAGCAACGGAATCAAGGAAACAGCCCCATCATCGATCACTTTTTCTCCTTTTCAGTGGACTTAGCTTCCGCCGGCGAGCACATTGCGTATAAAACGTGTATATCTCTTTTTAAGATTAGGTGCGCATATTCTCCATCCTTATTTAGAGGAGCATACTTTCATAATACGGTGTAACTACTTTCTTTTTACATGAGATAAGAAGAAATAGTGACTCTGGAACTGAGAATAAAAAGTCGTCAAAAGATTTGCAATCTTGCTCTTGAACTTAGTTGAGTCATGAAGATCAAGTTGGATAGATATTATATGAGTTTGATGCATTAAAGATAACTATATATCCACCATTGTGCTTAAGAGATTTTGTCCGTGAGATTAATATAACTAGGTTCATTTTTTAGGACTAATCTAGAGTATATACCAAGTAGCACCATCATTTATCATTCAATCTCACACGTTAAAAAAACATCAATTCTCTCTCTCTCTCTCTCTCTCTCTCTCTCTCTCTCTCTCTCTCTATAGATCTGCTGCATGCAAGGGTAGTATTGGTTGGAGTGCTTTTGTTGTCCAGTTACTTCAATGGTAAGGTAAGAGACTAAATGGGAGGGGTATCTTTTGACTAGAAGTGGATTAGAACTTTAGGGGAGGTCCAATTGTCCCCCAGTGTAATGATATGAGAGAGAGAGAGAGAGAGAGAGAGGGAATGGAAAGCTACGAATTCAAAAAAGGAGGAGGGCACCAGGCACCTGAGAAAGAACAATGCTTTTAAGATATGTGTCTGTGCGTGTATGGTCGATAGTGGCCATCGATAGTACCCATCATCAACATAAAGTAGAACAAATACAATGCTCCTCTCTCTCTCTCTCTCTCTCTCTCTCTCTCTACAAGTGCATACTATATGTCACATCCATTTATCCATCTTCCAAAGCCTTTGTCTTTGCAATCGATGGCTTTGGCGGGTCTCAATATAGAATATGTCTTGTAATTGAGTGTATATAATATCGTCCGTCTCATTAAATGAGTATGAAATAAAAACAAAAGTGTATACAACTCAATGATATCATAGATACTCTCCCTTAGTGGGTAAACTTGTCAGACATGTTAATTTTTGTCATTAATCTTCTTCAATTCATTCGATTCGACAACTAAAAATTGATAGATGTGTGTAAGAAGTGAAAATAAGTGTGTGGATAGCACTACCGTTCTGCAATTCAGTTGGTTAATGCATCTGTGAGCAGTCTTACTTTAATGGGCTGAAGGTAGCCCATAAGTGATGGATTGATGTGCATCTTTGGTATTGTTATTCTTGTAGATTTATAAAGGCCCACAAAATCTAACCATCTGTCTTACTTTGATGGGCCGAAGTTTGCATCTATCCAATAGGCTCGCCCATGATGCCACAGAACTCTAGGAATGTTGACACCCACTGTATTTCAGTCCTCCACGACTTTTCGATGATCTGGTTCTATGTAAATTAATGTTGAAAAATATTTTGGAAATCAAATCTTAGTAAAAGTATAAGTTAATTTGAAAAAAAAAAATACGTTTCATGTAAGAAGCACATAACTATTTCCTTCGCCAATTCATCAAAGTTGAGTTTTAGAGGTCAAAACAATACCATGGTCAAAAATCGACAGGCAAGAAACTTGACAAATATGCTTTTTTGCTGCCAATTCATCACGTAAAAAACATCTATTAAACACTTAGATACTATGTATTTTTCAAATATTTCCATCAACACTCCAAGTGAAAAATCAAGAGTTTCAAGACTCAAAATCCAAGAGTTGCAAGTATCTTATCCAGAGGGTGCGGACTGAGGATGATGATGACCCAATCACCGTGTGCCACGGTGCTACAAATCTACCATTATTTGGTTATGAGTGAGAGAGAGAGAGAGAGAGAGAGAGAGAGAGAGAGAGAGAGAGAGAGCAGCAAGTCTGCGGCAAAACCAACCCCAACTCACCAATCACCTTATCCAAATTATTAGAATCCTGCAAATTGTCAGACTCCAATGGCTGCCCTCCTCTCCTGCCACTACTCTGCTGCTTCTCCAGCTTCCTCCTCCTCCAAATTCTTCAGCGGCCACCGCACTCCCTTCTCAATTCCCCACAACCACCTTGCAACCCGCCGTTCTTCCCCACGCTCTGTCCAATGCCAGATCCACAACCAACAGGTGCCATTTTTTGTTTAAATTTTCAGCATTTTTATTCAATCAAATTCTTGGCAATTAATATATTTTTTACAATATTAGAATGTACGAACCGTATAGAATATTGGGTACTTTGTTAAGTTCGAATCTTTTCGGAAAGCTGTGACATTTTTCTGCAAAAGTTGATTGTACATAGAACCCATTCAGCATCTTCACTTGTTTATGCTGAAAGGGAAGATCTTTTGCTGAAATATGTTGATTGTATATAGAATCCACTAAGCATTTTCATTTGTTACAGCAGAAAGGGAAGTCATTCTCCATCAAGGAGTGCGCGATTTCGATAGCATTGGCGGTGGGATTAGTAACAGGAGTTCCTGCATTGGATTGGACTAGCAATGCCTTTGCAGCGGCTAATCCAGCGGTGCCTGATGTGTCTGTACTGATCTCTGGACCGCCGATAAAGGACCCGGGGGCATTGCTGAGATACGCTCTGCCTATTGATAATAAAGCTATCAGGGAAGTACAGAAACCGCTTGAAGATATCACTGAGAGTCTCAAGGTAGCTGGGGTCAGAGCACTCGATTCTGTTGAGAGGGTAATTCATCAAACAATTTCTTTCATTGCCTTCATTGTGTTTATGTATGAGGAACTTAGATAGATGGTGACTGAGACTTTGAGTTGGGATGCAGAATTTGAGGCAGGCATCTCGAGCTCTGACGCAGGGGAAGTCTTTAATTGTATCTGGATTAGCTGAATCGAAGAAGGAACACGGAGTTGAATTGCTTACCAAGCTGGAAGCTGGAATGAATGAGCTTCAACAGATTGTGGAGGATAGAGATAGAGATGCAGTAGCAGCAAAACAGAAGGAGCTGCTTCAATATGTCGGGGGGTGAGTATTTCGCAGAAAAATTTACTTGTGCCATGGTGAAGAATTTTGGCTTTTTAATTTCGTCACGCTTATTGATCTGCATGAACAGAAAACGCCTCTTATGAAATATCGGAGTGGCTGTAAGAAGCTAAAACTGTGTGAGTATAAGATAGTAAGTAGAGGTATTGAATTTCAAAATGCATTCTCTCTGTTGGAAAAAAACTGCAAAGTTGCTGTTGTAGGAATTTTCGTGTTTATGAGTGAGACAATGCGCGATAGAAAGACCATTAGTAAAACTGAGACTAAATCAGCCGGCATTGTTTGCGGTAGATACTAGAAAAAACAACGATTAGAGCTAGAGCTGAAAAGACGTTGAAGTGTGCGAGGATTGTCAGTTATAAGTATAACATGCGTATCCTCATATATGCCCTTGTCATTGACTGCAGCTGAGATCTTCCTGGGGCATTGGGTTTCTGCAGTGTTGAAGAGGATATGGTGGACGGATTCCCTTACGAAGTGCCTGAAGAATACCAGAGCATGCCTCTGTTGAAGGGGAGAGCGACGGTGGATATGAAGGTCAAGGTTAAGGACAATCCCAGCCTTACTGATTGTGTCTTCCGTATTGTTCTTGATGGTTACAACGCCCCTGTGACTGCCGGGAACTTTGTAGACTTGGTGGAACGACACTTCTACGATGGCATGGAAATCCAAAGAGGTAACATCTCATAGTAAATATGCACTCTTATGCATTTCAAGTTTATGTTTACTAGTTCATCTGACCTCAAAACTTCAAAATTTCGACTTGGCTTTGCTTTTCGTTGCAGCGGATGGTTTTGTCGTACAAACTGGTGATCCTGAAGGACCTGCAGAGGGTTTCATAGATCCAAGTACAGAGAAAACCAGGACAATACCATTAGAAATCATGGTCGAGGGAGAGAAAGTACCTTTTTATGGAGCAACTTTGGAAGTAAGCTTCTCACACCTTACCAGAACTTAATGCAAAAAACCTACTATAATCTGTGTTTGCTTATACTGCGTAGACATTGATTGTGAAATTCGTATTCTGACAGGAGCTCGGGCTATACAAGACACAAACAAAGCTTCCGTTTAATGCGTTCGGAACAATGGCTATGGCGAGAGATGTAAGATCAACGTCGCGGTTCATCTTTTCTCGTTTGATCGATTCAGAAGTTAGAGATTAAATGGTTTTCAAATTTTGTTGGCAGGAATTTGAGGACAATTCTGCTTCCAGCCAAGTGTTCTGGCTGCTCAAGGAAAGTGAGCTAACTCCAAGCAATTCCAATATATTGGATGGGAGGTATGCAGTGTTTGGATATGTAACAGAGAACGAAGATTTCTTGGCAGATTTGAAAGTTGGTGATGTTATTGAATCAATCCAAGTAGTTTCTGGCCTGGAAAATCTTGCCAATCCAAGCTATAAGATTGCTGGATAGTGACTATTCTGTACTACTTTGTAATTTAATTCGGGGATCCGGCAGTCGCACTCCGGGATCCGGCGGCGACCGTCGTATTGTTTTGAGAGAATTTGTACCTTTTGTTTGGAGAATAATGTATTCACTTGGTGTTTTCTATATGAACATTAGTCAATCTGGTCCTGTCCTGTGCTGTGCTTGGGAAATTAGCATAAAGAAACGAAAGCTTCACAAGTTTATAGTCCAACAAGCAACTGATGTTGCAGAGCACATATTAAACCTACAGCCTCCACACTTTTGTATTCACTTCTCTCAATCTATTCAATTCAATCTAATACAAATTGAATTTCCAGAACGGACACGTTCCTTTCGCGTCTCTCGCTTGCCGGACGAGGAGCAAATCTTTCAAGGTCCGCGGTACTTGAGGAAACAGAAACAACCCTGCGGCTGGTCCCCGGGGATCATACCTCCACCTTTAGATGTGTCAATGGCCTCCAACATGGCCACCACCTCGTCCATCTCAGGCCGCTTGTCAGGGCTAGCGTCCCAACATCGCTTCATCACATTTGCAAGAGCACTTGGGCAACAACGAGGTATCTCTGGCCTCAGATTCTGTAGTTTCATATAGAAATATGATTTTTCTTTTAGCGTACAACTTTGACGCAATAATTTATCTCATGGATTGTAAGAAATCTTATGGATTTTATCTACCTGGCGGACAACGGCTGATGTCACTTCCGAGAAGCTGAGATCAGGATACGGCATGTCACAACAGTATATTTCCCACAAGCAGATTCCGAAACTGTACACATCACATTTTCTGTTATATGGGTGGCCATTTAGAACCTGTTCCATCCCGCCATTGACAAAAAGTCAGATACAGAAATACAGAAATATTGAGGAAATAGGAGGAAACCACATAATCTTATGATCCACAAGCAACTCATTGACCATAAACAGATGTTCAATAACAGAAACGAGCAGCATCGGACTAAATAACGCAACTCGTCATTTTTTGTTCATATGAAGATCCATTATATTGGTGTCATGTAAGGTTTGCTGTCCATCACGGCACAGCCAAATAGTGGGAACATCACCGAGGTATGTTATGGCACTCCGGGTCCATCTGCAGTGTTGGAAATATTTGAGGCAAAATCATGACGTATAGATGCACATCTTTCTCTATAAGAAATCTACGAAGACCATGACATTTTTTGGAATGAAATTTCTAATTTGAGAACATATTTTCCATCACATAACTATTTTTGCTTATTTACTGATGTAACCTAGTGAAGCGGAGTTTCTATCAGGAATTATTTTGTCGGGATATACATAGCATTACAAATGCATCCAAATACAGCATATAAATAACACAATATAGAGAGAGAAACATCCCAATCTTTATAGGGAAAATTCTTGCACATGTCAGTTCGAACAAAACCCAGCAAGGTAAACACCATGACAGCCTTCTATGATTAACCGACAGGGAGAACTCTGCAGCTTGAAGGCTACAAACCCACACAAGGTTGCATGCATGCAAATAAGGTGCATTACTAAAGATTTAAATTAAAGTTAATCAAAGGGTATACCTCTGGAGCCATGTAACCGAGGGTTCCAGTTTCCCCAGTCATTTCATTAGGATTTGAAGCCTCAACACGAGCAACCCCAAAATCGGCTATTTTTACAGTTCGTGTCTTGTCCAGAAGCATGTTTTCTGTTTTAACATCTCTGTGAACAATCTTCTTCGAATGAAGATAGCACAAACTACAAAAAATACAGAGAATGGCAGTTCAATCCTCACATTAAAGAAATACAAAAACTCTGCACGTTCAAAGAACAAGTTCCATATATAGAAACTAATGTGTCTTCTTGGAAGTTGAAAAGGTTTAAATATATCAAAGATCCAAAGAATAAAATAAAATAAAGATGGAGTGCGCGAATATGACCCTCTTGCAAGATCCAATGCCAGTTGGACAACTAGTTTGAATGCCAGCTTCCTTCTGCGGTTCTTTATGAGGTAAGATTTCAGTGCACCGCCAGGACAATATTCAACAACAACACAACAAACATTACTTGGCATGCCAACTTGGCCATTATCTGTTTGTATGTGTAGCTCCGATGATCCCATTGTAGCCCCTATAAACTGCAAAGAAAGATTTGGCATGAATAAGTTATACGGTGTTGACGTAAACAAACCAATTCATATAACAATAAGACTCCAACTGGATCAAGTTTGAGGGCGCTCGACGCCATACTCAGTCAGGCCAAGAAAAAAGCGACATTCCATCTTGAGAACCGACATCCACTTTAAAGTTAATTTTGTTTTGACACAACTATCTTGTATTTATGTTGAATTCTAACACTACAGTAAATTCTGTAGATACATGGTTCTAACTAAGAGGTTAAGTATGAGAATGTTTCACTTACGGTTTTCCAATTAAAACGTTATATGAATGCTCACAACATACAAGAGTGAAGACATCGAAATGTTACCTTGGTTACATTAGGGTGCTCAAGCTTATGCCAGACAGCAACTTCTTGAGTAAAAGCTGCTCTTAGTGAAGCTATTTCAGCATCTGATCTATGCCCCTCTTCTCCCCAATCTAGAAGTTTAACTGGACATTGGAAAAAGAGGGAAAGGTAAGAGTTAACGTACAGGTATTTCTATGATTCAGGTTAAATTACACAAACACATCAATGAAGGTTCTCTCGATCCTAAACAGCCACATCAACAGTTTAATAAATATATAACGTCAAACATAATAAGACAATTATCATATAAAGTATCTCCTACTGATCCAAGCCTAATTATGGTCTTCACCATAGAGTAATTTGGACTATTTCTATTTCTTGGTTGAATTACTTTGAACGAGAGTCTCACGAATGCTAAGATGACAACTCATCTGGCAGATTAGTAGCTCGCCTGTTTTGAGTCAATAATCTTCCTATGCGCAGCTTGTGTCTCCAAGTGAGAAGTTAAAAAAGTGCACAACTTTATTAAATTAAGATGCAAAGGTTCTTTTTAATAGGAAAAAAGTGCAATTACTACAGCTAACTACCAGCTGCTCTCCCAATCCGTGAATCACGGAGATTGTGCTGCAAAAGAGACACTTCCCCTCTGTTGTAGCTAATCAAATTCAGGATATTAAGACAAAGAACAACAACAAAATATCAGAAGCCTTCAAGAAATCCCTGCGCGCATTGGAGAATAACGGTAGAGATTCAAGGAACTAACTTAAGCAAAAGTTGTAGAGAAGCCTGAAACTTCTATGACACCGTTGAAACGGAGACTAAACGAGCAAGTTCAGGTGCTTCTCAAAAAAAGCGCTGTGCTTCCAAAAGCACTTCCATTTCATTTATGAGCCAAAAACCAGTAGGTTTTTAATTCATTGCATTCAAAAGGCTAGCTTGACATTGTTAAAAATTTCATTGGCCCTCAAACCCGAAAGACTCGATCTCAATCAGTCATACATATAAACAAACTAAAACATCCTGCGTTAAATACAAACCAATATCAACGTCACTAAGCTTCAAAACAACGGCGTCCATGACGTCCAAAGAAGCAATCTCACACATGCATGTATATATCGAAATGATGAGTTTTTCCAGGAAATATCAAATTTTGATAAACGGGTATTGATTTTCATCAAATGGGCACAATCAGAACCCATACAAAATATAAAAATTCCATTAAAAAAGAAGCGTGGCAAAAGAGCAGTACCGGCGACGTCTTGGCCGTCGTACATGCCACGGTGAACCGCGCCGAAAGTGCCACGAGCTATAGCGCCCTTGACGACGAGCTTGGAGGGATCAATCTCCCACTCTTGCCTTCTGGGAGTGTTGCTCCTCGACGCCGCCACTGCCTCTTCGTCTTCCTCCGGCTTCTTGTTCTTCTCCATCGTACATGCCCTGCTGAGGTGCCGCTGCAGCTGCTCGTCCAAGCTCTTCAGATCTATCTGATCCGCCCTCAAATACCCGCCTCCGCCTCCGCCGCCGTCGCTCTTCTCCTTCATTTTTTTTCACGGTCTGGTGTCAGAAAGTGAAGAAAGCTCGCTATTTTTGGGGTAGTCAGTCAGTCACTGTTTCGAAAGTTGTCTGCTTCTTGTGAGGATGTTGCAGAAGGAGGAGGAGGAGAAGGGTTATAAATGGTGTCACCAAGATCAAGCAGTAGTAGTGTTACTCTGTTGCTTCTCTCGCCATCATCCATGTGGGCACATGGATTTTGCCTGAGGACGACGTGTGTTTCTGACCCACCTCACTCTCTCGCCCACTTTTTCCCTCTCTCTCTCTCTCTCCTCTCTTTTCTTCTAATGCTTTGTGTCCTTCAACGTAATACATCATTTACCTCATCTTCTATAAAGATGTGATTTTTGTAAATTTTCGGTCGAGATGTCTGACTATGACAACTCTTACATTTTATGGAGGAGCGTAAGTTTAGATGAGTTCAGGTAAAATTAAAAAGAAACATTGAAGTTCTAATGTTTCGGTGAAATATGTCATACAGATTACATGGTCAAGTTATTAAACGCAAGATTTCCTCCTATCTTATCTCAAAAAGATCGATTCTGATCTATCTTGTTCGTGAGAGATTCCTAAATATAATCGCATACGTGTTTAGAGCTGTTTATAAAAGAAATGTATCTCCAGCTACACATCAAACTCTCTCCCAAACCATGCCATAATCTGTGGATTTATGTGAAAGTTTTATTAGTAAGTGAATACTAATTTGGTTTATAAAAGCATGTTTAAGTGATTATTCTAAATAGTGTGGTTTAGTATTCTTCGTATACTTGGTAGCATTTTTTGTTCTTTTTCGATGTGCTGGGAACACGGTCTAGTACATTCAGTATCATAATTCAATTATCTAACCACTTATATTATGATATTTGTTGTACCATGCCTTGATCTCGACACACTGAAAAATTTCTATTTGCTTAAAATTGTACATCATAGGCTAAGCCAATGACAGAAAAACACATTTTAAAGGCATATGGTGCTAAGCCAAAAGACATACGTAAAAGGCATATGGTGCCCTAATAATCCCCACCATACAACCATCAATTCCTTTGTTTGTTGGGAGTTTTAACGAAAAGTCTGAAATACTATTCATTTTAACAAAAAATCATATTTTTACACTAAAAAGTCAAACATGGTTCTATTCACTTTACCCTTTATTTTGTCTTTATCGTTAAAACTCAAAATTTTCAAACCCTTTTTATTAGTTTTCCTTTGTTTGTTTTACTTCTCTATTTATACAAAAAAAGGGTATGGTCTTGTGGTGGGAGTGTGGAATCCCAAATTAAAATATTACCTCTCAAATTTGGTCAGGGTTGGCAAAGATTTTATATATATAAATAAGGTTTTTTGTTAGAGTGGAAGAAAAGAGGATTGTGGTTGTGTGGTCCAGACTCCAGGCAATGTCCCAAATTGGGGATGTTCTGTTGCATGATTGGGAACATATTTGGTTCATATATGGAAGGTTTGGTTTCTCAGTTTTGTTTTGGTCAAGGCTTTGGTTTATCATTGAGAGTACTTTGAATCATGACCAAAAATAAAAGGCCTTTAGCAATAGTGGACATTATCATGTTAGAATTTGACCTAATGAGATAATGAGCAACTTATTATTCGTTCTCAAGCGGAATATTACGATCAGTCGTTAACGTGCATAAATTGATTTAGTTATCTCTACTTTATAGATCGACAAGCGTGAATGATCTTGATTAACCCAATTAGTCCTAGAATTACTTTGTTCTCAAACTACAGCCACTCCCCTCTTTTTGGTCCAACCCTCAATGCTTGGTAGTAGAAATGTCTAACCACGTTATTTGTAAAGTATCTATTATGTTGGTCTCATCCAACTTCACACAGTCTCATTCAGTATGAGAGCTACCCTACCAAATATCTTCCCTAGTAAGACAACCATGCACTCAACGAAGAATTCTTAAACTTTATTAACTTTCTTCAGGATAATAGTAGCAGATAACCGGGCCTTGATAACCAAAAAAATTGGGTTATCAGGGCATATCTGTTAAAAAAAAGTAGAGTAGTAGCAGATTACCCGGTGAAAAGACCTTATCTTTGGCTCAATGAAAACAAAACAGTAATTCAGAGTTAACCTTTTCCATGAACATCAACACAAAACATGTGACAGTCTTCACTTTTTGACTTAATTGGGCAACAAAAGCAGCAGAGACTGGTATTTTAGTCGGTCAAGGGGTTCACGGGAGGAGACAGACTTCTTAAGATAATAAGAGAAAAGGCCCGTGATATTCAAGCACCCTGCCGACGAAAGGTTCCATCCCAACCCTAAAATGTTCAGATTTTTCTCTGCATTTAAACAACGGCGGGAATTTGTTTTTTTTTTTTTAATGAAAAATCATATTTTAACACTATAAAGTTAATCCTGATACTATTCACTTTACCCTTTATTTTGTTTTTATCGTTAAAACTCAAAGTTTTCAAGTCATTTTCATTAATTTTCTTTTTTAGGTAGTGCTATTCACACACCCCTTTTTACCTTCCACACACCCTTGTTAAACTTTGACCATTGATCTTCTTCAGTTCATTCAATCCGACGGTCAAAAATTGAGAACGGTGTGTGAGAGATAAAAATAGATGTGTGGATAGCACCATCCTTTTTTTTTGGTCAAACGATAAATTTTGTTAGATTAGCCATCGACGGAGTTTGAATCCACACCGTCATGCAAGAGTTCAACACCCTTCCACTATTGTGGTAAAGGACTACTTGCCAATGCTGTTTGGAAATGCCTCTATAGGGGCTATAAGCGTTTTCTAACTATGATTGCTAGAAGCACCAAAATAAAAGCACTTCTAACAAAAACACTTACGAACAAAAGTGCTTCTAACATAAGAGGTCCCAAACAGACCCTAAATCATTCCCGTGACATAAATACTTCAGAAAGATATAATTATAAGATTATAAATACACTTCATGCCGACCATCAACACATTTGTCCAAAAGAAAGAGAACTTAGACCTAACACCTTTTAGGAGCTTACAGCTGAGGCCGTTTCACTGATATAAGTGAATAGTATACAAAAGTTGCACCTTGTAGTGTGGTATATTCCCAGTCGACTAATTGATAACGGCCATACCTATACAAAAAATATCCAAAGTGATCCAAGTCTGAATTCCGGCTTACTAGATAACGGCGTAATCATATAAATGGCGGCGCCTCCATCATGCTAAGATACGACGCTTCTTTTTCTCTGGTGTTGCATGTATCTGTGCCTTGATCCCGTATGTTTTTAGCTGAAAGTTCTCAAAAGCCTCAGAGATTGCTCCGACCTGTACATTGTGTTGGAGAATATGAATATGTTTAGTCAAAGACGGTAAGGGAGAAGATAAAACCAGTGATCAAACTGTGGTAATGTTTAATTTGACAGACCAGCTCAGGCTTTTTGGAGTACACACGCACTATCATATCTTGATATGATGTCGGCAGCAAGTGACTAATACGATCATCGCTTATGGTGAATTTTTCATGACTATTGTAATCCTGAACAGATACAGCAAACTTGTTTTCAGTGACGCACCAAAAAGCAACCATAGAAAAGAACTGAATCTTCACCTATCTGCATCCTACACAAATTTTGGTTCTTCCTGACTCGGTAAAGATGTGTCATTTAACAAGTTTCAATTCCACAAGTCTGAAATAGTCTACATTCCTTTCATTTTCAACGAGTCTCAAATTGTTTCTCTTTTCCTTTCATTTCTATCGGCTCTCCGATATCAAAATTAATGACTATTTCATCTGAATTATGTATCCATATAAAAGGTTTAGATACAAAAGACTACTGCATGGGTTTAAGAGACGTACCTGGAAAAAGCTGATACTGGAAGAGGTACATGCATTAATAAGAGAAAAAAGGGTCATTTGATGCTTAATAACAGTTGCACCGAAATATAGAACCAATGGCCTTTTAAAGGACATTCTCATCGAACCAAAAAAAGGAGAGCATCCTCACCTTTCAAGAGGATTATGTCTCCCACGAGTCAAATCAATCCTGACATTGCTAACAGTGACATCCTCCTCTTTCAATGTCACTCCTCCATTTTTCTGTGAAAAAAGTAACATGGCGTTAGTAGTGAGATAATTTTTAGCAATGAAGAGACTTACACGCATGCACTGAAATGGAAAGGACTGGTTGTCACAACCTGAGAACAAACAATATCTTGAGCGGTGACATTTTTGAAATGCTCCATTTTTTCCTTGGGTAAAGAATACTCGTTGCAAAACTGCCACCAAACATTATCAAACCACAATAGAGACCCATAAGTAAACTTTCTCAGATTATTCACGGAGTTCAGAAAAGTAGTGACCAGCAAAAACTTACCTGATAAAGATTTCTCCTCCTAATGCGTAGGATTAAGTCCCTAGCTTCCTTTAGTTCTTCGTTTGGAGCTGTCTCAATAGTTCTAATTATGGTGTCATCTAACTGCATTTGAATCATTTCAAGCATAGCATTCTAAGAATCAGGGCAATAATAAAAACGAAATAAAATGTAGTAAAATGCTCCTGATACCTTCCAGTATTGAGAGGGATCCTCAATGCGTGACGCAATGTCAAGAAAATCATTTGCTTTCACTAAAGCATCAACCACCATAAGCTCTATGGCCTGCAAAAGTAGTTTTTTGTCAGATTCAAACACTGAACTCATCTGTGCTGGGGATGCTCAAGAAACTATTTAGTCTATACCTTTACTTTCGGATGTGTATAAACTGTTCGATACAAATCAGCACGGGTAGCAAATAACTTGTGGACGGTAAGATCTAGAAATTTAGGCAACCATTAGCATGTAGAAACCCAAAATACAAAACTAATCTGATAAATGAATTTGACAAAATACTAACAATCTTTGGCACGATAGCATATTTCATCATCCAGAACCCGCATTGTCTCCATTAATCTGCAAGAGGGGGAAAATATATGATGATAGAACAGATCACCAATAATCACCCATGTATTCATCTTCCCTTCACTTGATAAGCAGCCGTAAAACGAATTTGTTTCAGCTTAGTTGTTGCTAGTAAAGTAGTCCTACCTGAAAGGTCTTAGCTAGTTTCTAGTTGGTGGATTTCTTATCCGCTTGTACTTCCTTCTATTATTTAAAAAAAAAATGCTATTGTTTCTTTAAAAAAAATAAAGAATAATAAGATGCATCAAAGTGAACTTTAAGATCAGAAAGAAACCTTTGATACTCAAAGTTCAATCCCAGCCCACAATTGCGGCAGTCACGAAGAATATAATCAAACCTATTAATGATAAACATCTCCATAGCA